CTGAACGCCGAGAAGACAAAAGCCATCTTGATCGGATCCCCTTCACTCCTCAAATCCTCCCCAGTATCTCCCAATCTCTTCCTGAACAACTCACCTATCTTATTCTACACCACCGTTAAAAACCTAGGTGTTACTTTCGATCAATCCCTATCCTGGAAACCTCACATCTCCCAAATTTCCCGTCGCACTATCTCCACCCTAAAACAGTTCAATCGTCTACGATATCTCCTTCCATATAAGTCCCGTCAACTCCTAGTTTCCTCCCTTGTTTTCCCCCACTTCGACTACGGCTGTATGGTGTACGGCGGACTCCCGGGAGATTCCGAGGCCAAACTTAAACGCCTAATGAATTGCGCACTACGATTTGTTTTCGGAATCTCAAGGGATACGCATATTACCCAGTATTACACTGAGTTGAGGTGGCTCTACCCATCCTATCGCCGTCAGTACTTCCTAGCCACCTTTCTGTACCAAATTATTAGAACCCATCGACCCTCCTACATTTTTCACAGCTTACAATTCAAATATTCCATCCAATCCCGTCCCACCAGATCTCGTACTTCCGACCTCTATCCTCCTCCTCACCGAACTGCTGCGTTTGACAAATCCTTTGCAATACAAGCCGCCTCCCTCTGGAATTCCATCCCCCCTGATATTCGACACGCTCAATCAGTTTCCTCGTGTAAACCACTCCTCTTTAAGCACCTACTCCTTTCTCAATCCGAATGATTGTGAAATATATCTAAGAGAAATATCTGAGCACCACCAGAGACTACCTCAATTTATTAAGATTATTTTAGTTTCTCATATATATGTACAATTTACTTGTTCTCTTCTTTCTCTTTTCTGTATTTTTATCGTAAGTCAACTTTCATTGTAAATATACAATTCAATTGTAGCCACACAGACATATAATCTGTATTCATATTTTGTTCTTAAGGGACAACAGTCCCAGAATAATAAAACATTTTTTTCATTTTTTTCATTTCATTTCATTCATTTCATCTGCCGGAGCGAGTGTCTTCAGTGGCTAAATGTCATTCGGTCCCTATCGGGAAAAATGGATAAATCTTCCAAAGTATAGCCTACAGGAGGTCGTAAAAGGCTGGATGCGGAATGCGATGTAACCCAAATTGGTTATTTATCGTTTCGACCTGGTTATGTAACTTTACTACTTCATCTGTATGGATCCACTATCTTATTATAATTTAAGTACGAATTATACAATTAAAATGAGTGATAGGACTATAACTTAATGATACTTCATCTATATTCTATATGTCTAGCAATGTATAACTGTCAACAAAATCGTGCGGAAGGTTTTTGCTTAGACATGTAACTTTTTTTACCTCGCCTTTTAGGCTATACGGGGATTTTCCCGGCTCAGGGAGTATGGAAAGCGGCATTAATGCTAGAGTTAAAATACCCCCGGTACCAGGACGCGAACTCGTACATTAATTTATCAAATTAAATGTTTAATGAGGTTGCCTGGCAACGGCGCACAGTGGGCGAAGTAATGGAATAACTGCAACTTCGGCTAAAAAAAAAAAAAAAATATAGCTCTAAAAACTAGATAAAATTGATACCTTAGGCAGTTTATGACGGTAATTTTAGTTGGCAGAATGAACATATTATACTGTCTTTAGTAAATAGTTCAAGTAAAAACCTAGTTAATTTGTAGAATTTCGCGTGATTTGTAGGTTTTGTAAAATTGTTTGGTTCGAGCTGATGGTTGATAATTTTTCCTTCAAACTTTATATACTTTTTACTGTCATACTTCTTAATTTATTATTATTACTTTAACGTATTTTTTTCATTAGTGTTTAACTAATTACAGGAGCATTTCCATTAACACTAATCAATTAAATAAAAAAAAAAAAGTAAATAAAATAATTTTTGGGTACGGCTTGGTGTCTGGAAACTAAAAAATTAGAAACTAAAAATTAGAATTTAATTTATTACAATTCATTATCATCATTTATCACAGTTTAGTGACTTGCTATGGGGTTTTAAATTTTAAAAAAAGTTCTTCATAATAATCCTAGAAGATCCCATTATAAAAATGTATTTATTTTATTTCTAAGACCTACGCCTAGCAATAGTATATACTATGGGCGGGAAGTTACTTTACTATGGCGGGAACCATAGTTGACAAACCGCCTGTTTTTTAAAAAGCGGTTAATAAAAATTAAACATCAAAATCGGGCGGGAAATCATCAATTGGCGCGTTAATGAATGAATCCTGCTTTATTTTTTTTCTGTACTCCTATAATAATAATTAACCTATAATTTTAAAATTGATATCTGTTTTTATTTTCAGCTTCAATTAAAATAGCTTCACATTTTTAAGACAAATATTAGTATTCTAGTACCATAATAATTGTCGTTTGGTATATTATAATTATCCAGGCATTACCTCAATCAGATATTAATATATTTTTAAAAAAATCTAGGACAATATTACAACTTAAAAATCCCAATATCTGCTAAACTTAATACAAAAATAACCCTAAAATAGAATAAAAAATGGTCAGTATATTAATCTTACTCCTCACCAAAATAAAAATAATTATATCTAATAACAAAGTATTTTAAGATCATGCTAGGAAAAGCCAATATGTTGTTTTCTGTCTAAGAAAAAGGAATTGGCGCGAGCTGTAATTTCATTAGCTGGCATCCTTTTGCCATCTTACGAGGCGAATTTGATTAAGCTAGCCCGACATCAGACTCTACACTTTTTGCTTTTAATTCCTTCTCAACTTACCATATCTGTTTTAAATAAGAGACAGTTGCCTTCGGTCAACAATCAGACAGTTAATTTATTTTAAAATTCAAAATAATTATCATTAAATAAGTTGTTGGTTAATTTATTACTATATGTATGTATTTGTGTGTGTGTGTGTATTTTCCAGTTCCTATAAATACGATTTGTTTTGCTATAATACTTCCCTCGAATTGCCCATGGTTTTCGAAATATCTCTGACCACGGACCGCTCTGAAATTTATTCATATTGCAACAGGACTCCTACCCTGACACTAGCATTGCCACTTGAAACAAATAATCAAGGTCGTTTTCACCGGCTCTTAAGTTGCACAACAGTGGAAAACAGTGTACAAGGACCGTCTAAAAGGTTTTCTCTTGCACTCCATCCAACACATTAGATAACCCTAATTAACGGAATCTTGTACGTTCATTTGATTGCTTTCAAAGATTTTCCTGATTTCAACGAACCATTCTGGTAATTCAATAAGTATGTAGAAGAAATCTTCAGTATCATAATGAAGAAAAGGCAGATTATTAGTTTCAAACCTTAAATAATTATGGTGATAACTAGTATATTTATACTTACACACAATATATAAGATATATTTGCACTATAATTAGCAATATAGTAGCAAAACGGAACTAGTAACCTAAAATACTCTTTAACTTTATAATCGTCGATTTATTTACAAAAAGTCCTTTAGTACAGTTTTTATGGTGTTACAATTTAAGTAAAATTTGTCTATTTCGACCTTATTTATCGATACAAACAAACAAACAGTGAGTGTGGGTAAATTTCTAAAATCAGTACTGAGCACATTGATGACAACGGGGCCAAATGACTCGAACCCTTTTTATATCAAATATTGTTTATCTAAATGAAAAAAGTTCTTATTTTACTGATCAAAATTACACGGTGATTTAATTTTATGAAATGTCATTAATGATTTTTTGCAATAAAGACATGAATGTGTATCTATGGCTGTTTTAATATTATTTTAATAAATTTTGAACATTACAATAGTTCACTTCTTTTTCAGATCTACTCTACAAAATTGAGAACTTGACGGATGACAATAGTTAATATTTTTCTACACATTTATCTTATTTAAAAAAATAAAAAATAAATAGATGTTTAATTTTATTTATCTTCAATTCACTTAAAGTTTCTAGTGAATGATAAAATGTATTTTTACAATAATAAAATAACGACCTCCATTAATCAAATTCAAAATACTACCGAGTCCAATACATATTCAACCTCCTTTCTATACATATATTTAATAAACCACAAAAGTGGCAAATATATATAATGGTATTTAATATTATAAATCATTATTCCAACTAATAAGCTATTCCTATATGCTTTCTTGATTGATAAAAATAATAACTCACCTGTAGTTCCAATAACAGAGAAAAATTCTCATAGAACAAAGCTTCGCCATTTTTCCAGAACTAAAACTTATCACTGTCCAATCAAACCAATCAATTAATAATTAATATAACTTTTTAATAAAAAATGAAAACTAATTCTTAATCAAAGCTAATAAATAGGATATCTAATGATTTTAAAGTTTATTAATGAAAGCTATCACATAAAAAAATTAAATTAATTTAAATCTAAAAAAGATATTGAATCACCATTTACAGTGTAAGATTATAACATTAATGTTTATATTTCTTTGAATACAATATTGAGCAAATCATAATTGATTGATTTTACATATATTTAAATGCACTATAAAACAATAATGCTGAACGGAACACTTTTAAGTAATTATATTTAATAGAAAAAAAAAAAAAAATAGTAAGCCCGCACTCCTATCTTTAGTTGAAAAACTGCCCTTTGCAGGTGATGCACTACATCTTTTCATTTAAAAAAAATAACTTTTTTTTTAATTTTAGGCATTTAATCATTCTCTGTTTTATACTTAAATTTTCAGCTAATAAGCACTATTCACAGTAAATCGACACACAATAAAAACTCTATTAAAAATGAATTATTATATTTTTATCAATTTTACATTTTTCAAAAAATAATTTAACAATAATCAATATTACAGGTTAATCTATAATTCTTTAACAATATCTGAATGAAAAACTAAACTTAATTTTAAAATTACCTAAATAAAAATACCGTATTAAGTGTTGACAAATTTAATATCGTGATGTTGGTAAGAGCAGATGCATTAGAATTATAACCTTCCTAGTGTATAAATAAAGTTAATGATGGTTTTACAGATATAAGGTTTTGATTGGTGTTCTTCCAAATAATTTTCTTTTTATTTATCATGTCACTGTGTCAATTATAATAGTAGTTTAATCTTTGATTCTTTCTTTTCTTTGGATTCAGACATGTTCTGTTTAAGAACTCTGTCTTTTTCAAAATTAATTCCTTCTATTCATGGATCAAACCATCTTAATCCAGGTAGATTTCAATCGATATTGACAAATATCAGGAACTATTCCAGTCGAAAAAATGATATTTCATTTAAAACCAGATCAACAGTATACTATATTGCAGGGGTAGGAATTCTCTGTGTGGGAATGTCCTATGCTGCAGTACCATTGTACAGAATATTTTGCCAGGTATTTATGCTCAGAAGTAATTTATTTATCAAATAGTCAATTTTTTAATGTATAATAAACTAAACTTGTTAAATTTCTTCCTAAAAACTTTATTATGGTATAATTTGCTTTGTTGCTTTTGTGTGTATGATGTGTTATAAAACACAACATATTTGGATTCTTCAAAAATTGGTACTATCGACAAATATATATTTATATGTTCTAAGCCTAAGCACATTCTGGTTATGCATTTCCTTGAAATTTGTATTTGTTTTTATATCCTTCTGCAGGAAAGGATTTTGCAAATCGTCCAATCTTCTATTATGTTGCCTTTAATATTTTAAATTATGGATACCTGGTTTGTCCCATTTCTTGGCTTTGATTTATAGAGATATTTCTGTACAAATTCATATGCAGTTGCTTGTGTTGCCCCCTTTAATGCAATGTTATTTATTATTTTTTTTAAAGTTAAATGTAAATAAAAAAAATTGATGATGGATACATCTTATGGATTAAATTAGATAAATTATTAGTTACCAATTAGAATTTAATTTATACAAAAATCCTCAATGCGCCTTACTTTGTCACAAATAAAATCATTCGTAACTGCCTTAATGTGCCATATTTTTCCGATTGGGCCCATTCCAGATACCTAATCTTTCATAATAAACATCAGAATCATTTGAATCCTTTCGTTTCTAGCCTTGCTTTTTCTTCTGAAAAGAAGATGGCCTCGTGATCTTATGCAGACATATTATTAGAGTGCTACCAGTGGTTAGTTTCTCAACAAGTGTTTTCATGTCATTATATTTCTGTGTACACATTTACTAGATGTATTTATATTCTAATACAGTTGTAAATATCATAAAAAAGTTAATACAACTTATTTCAGGCCTACAGTTATGGTGGAACGACTGGGGTCGCTGATTCATCTGTTATTGAGAATATGAAGAAGCTTGAAGACAGAATAATTAAAATAAAATTTAATGCTGATACAGCTTCTAGCATGAGGTGGAACTTCAAACCTCAGCAAAGTGAAATTACTGTATGAAATTAATTTTAACTTTTGATTTGATTGTTTAATGTTAAGTTAACATTTGATAATATAAAGTTTGCTTTATATTATAGGTGATTCCAGGGGAAACTGCTTTAGCATTCTACACTGCTAGGAACCCTACAGACCACCCAGTTACCGGTATAAGCACGTATAATGTATTACCATTTGAAGCAGGAAAGTATTTCAATAAGATCCAATGTTTCTGTTTTGAAGAACAATTGTTGAACCCTCGCGAAGAAGTAAGTTAGTTAAATATTTATTTCTAATGATTTATATACTTTCTTGATTATTTTACCAACAAGAAATATATGATGGTAAAACTTTTTAATGTATTGAAACCATTTATTTCATTATACTGATCTGTAATACAGTGAAATCCTGCTTATCTACAATTAAAATGAATTGCTGGCTCCTATTCACATGTTTTTTTTTTTTAACATGTTTGCTGCCAACAATGAGTTATTTAATTGGTTGAAGTTATCTCATAGGCACCAGCTACAAGTTAATTTATTGAACATTTTTGCTTTACCTAAACCACATACAATTAAACTCGTAGTATTTTCATGTTCTTTGAAGGTATCTGGCTTTAGGGTGGGTATGGTAGAACCGTTTTTTAAACGTCATTCCGCAGTGAAGGTGTTAATATTAGATGCTTTTTATCATTTAAAAAAATGTTTGCTAACACTAACCCATTCTAGAAGGTCCTTATATAATCTCATTGGAATATGGAGAAATTTTTTTATTAAAAACAAAATTAACTCAATTGCTGACTATCCAATCAACATTGAGTGTTTCATTATTTCTTGAGTGAATGGGAATCTGTTGCTCTGCTTTGATAATGTGAATACTCTTTTCGATAAACTCTTTAGCTTTAGGTAGACAGTAATTGGCTTCCACGTGCTTAATATATTAGGAAACTCCTAATAGATTGCTTCTCAGCAAGAAACAGATGCATTTGTGATATAACTTTTGCTTTAGTTAAATTTAGGATAATCAACTATAATAAACTAACTGTACGAGCACTTGATGGTAACAGAAAAGACAGACAGATTTTCAGGGGAAGTTTTAGCTAAGCATAATAGAAGTATGAAACAAAACCAATTTTCCCGATTCCAACAAAATAGTTATAAATAACTTTATTATTAATTTTAATAGTATTGTACAATGTAATAATATTGTAATAAGATTCATATCAGATGCCTCTAATGTATGTACTTGCAGGTGCAATACTTGCGAATTTGTTTTATTGGTTTATGAGGATTAGTATGTTAAATCCAAATTAAGATCTCGAATTTGTAATTTAAACTGTTTAGTTATAGATGTGTAATATTTACAATTAATTGTTTGTGGCCAAACCCTCAGCTTTTAGAATGCTGAACTTATTTTGAAACTTACTGCATGTGTATATTTGTTTAAGCGGCAAGTGGTTAACTCCAATAAAATAATATTAATTTTTAGGTTGATATGCCTGTTTTTTTCTACATTGATCCAGAATTTGCTGAAGATCCCAAATTGGAATATATAGATTCAATCACACTGTCCTATACATTCTTTGAAGCAAAAGAAGGACTCAAATTGCCTATGCCATCCTATGTTAAACCTCATAGTGCTCCTGCTGTGATGTAATCAGTTTTTACTTTTTGTGAACTGATTCTGTTTTAAATGATTATATATTTATTTTTTGTTTGTAAATAATGTTTTTAAAATTGTAAAATAGTAAATTTGTAAATAACTATAAAATAGAAATAAAATTTTATTCATTATCAAAATCATTTATTATTACTAGCTGTCATTTTTTTTCTTGAATTTTTTCCTAAATTTAAGAATATCTTGGATAAAAATTGCAGTCTCGTCAGTCACAAATACTCAGTATATTTGAGTATTTGTTAGATATTATACAGTGTTTATTATGCCATATTTATCAATGTAACATTTTGTTTGCCAATAATGACTACTGCAATAGTACTTTATAAAATTAAAATTTATTTAATCTAAATTTCAGGGTATATTGGCAAGTTGGTAATATAAACAAATTTTATTATTTAAACGATTGTTCCTCCAAATGCTGTATTAAATTACAAAAGCCTCAAATTAATCTAATTTAAGAATAAACAATAGTATAGAATCTTTGGGAGCACTACAAAAAAGTATTGTATATTGCTATAACTTGCGAAACAAATCTTCGTAATCATGAAGACTGTGGGCTACATTAAATTGTGCGTGCCACCAGAGAATTTTTATATTTGTATGGAAACTTTTGTTTCCAGTAAAAAAATTAAAATTAATGAAAATTTGCATGTTGTTATTATAATCTGACTACAAATTCCACTACATTAGATATTCAGGGATGCCAAATGTTCTAAAAAGAATCAGATCAGTGAAATAAATGATAAAAAAATATATCAATAATTAAGAAGTTATTGAATTGTAATATAATAATAAAGTTCAATTTTCAATAAGCACGTTGTGGCCCCTTGTTAGACCTGACCTAACATCTTATCAAAGAATCACTGAGATTATTCTTGATACTTATGTATAAAATTGAAAATTTGAATAGAAGCCTGACGAATTATTTCCTATATTGATTTTTGTTTAAATCAAGGAAGCGTCTACATCTTTACCTGCATGGTAACTCGTCATGGCTTCCAATAATTAAATCCAAAAAATTAAAATTTTTTGATATAAACTTAAATCTGATATTCATAAATCTTTTCACATTTAAATTCTATTTCCACCTACTTATTTTATCACAATGAAAATTTACTTTTAGACCTTTCTTAAGTAACATATTTATATTCGGAGATATTTAGCTTCCATCGGGGGCCATTGTGTATTGTGGTGTTAACCAACTTTAACGTTCTGACCACTCAACATCTTACTTTGAATTAAAGATATACATTTCAAGTTTATTTCAAATAAAACTAGTTCACTCTTATTCTTTAAGAACTGCTGTTCAGACTATTGAAATAAAGGTTTCTAAAGACTTTCACTAATGCTTGATGAATTGTATGTATAATATTTTCCATCGAATATAGGTTGAAATCCACATTTTTAATATAATTTCAAAGGAAAATATGGAGAAGTATTAAAAATACTATTAAGAAATGAATAACCAAATTAAACATGTATCTATAAAAACAATCAAATATACTTAATTATTCTCGTGCAGACTCATCTCCGTGTAAAGGGGTGTCCCATGGGTGGGATGGTTGGCAGAAATTCCTCCCGACTAGGTCCAAATAATATAGGATTGAATGTGCTGCTCACATACCTTGAGTTCACCATACACCAAAAATAACTTGGGCTCAAAATAAACACATATAAGACAAAATATCTGGTTAGCTACAAAAATGGCGATAATATCGATATAGAAGGTAATATGTTTGAACATGTAGAGAAGTTTAGGTATCTAGTGTGTATGATAACTAGAAAAAAATTAATTGAAGAGGAAATTAAGATTAGGCTGAAGGTGGGAAATGCTTGTTATTTTTCTGTGACAAAACTACTTAGCCTCGCGCCTCCTGTCCCAGTACTTAAAAAACCATTATCCTACCTATGGTTCCTTTTGTATGCAAAATGTGTCTACTTACATTAAGGGATGAGCAACGTATTACAGTGTTTGAAAATAAAGTATTGTGTAGAATATTCGGACTGAAAAATGAATTAACAGGAGTTTAGATGGTTACAATATGTCGAATTGTATGAACTATATCTGGTTAACATAATTAAGGTAGTCACATCACAACAAATTAAATTGGCTTGTAAAATTGTTGGACTTGGTAACAAAAGAATTCTTAGAAGTTAATATTTATTGTGCCGACTGGTAAATGTCAGAGGGGCAGATTCAAACAAATATTTACAAGATTGCATTAAGGCCGATCTGAAGGGACTGGGTTTGGAGGGCGACTGGTGTGTAATAAGCTATTAATGATGTGGCATCGAACATTAGGGTTCGCTATTATTGTACTTCAATTATGTGCTACATGAATAATCAGCACCATATATTTTTTTCTTAAATCAATTACATAATGGTGTTCTGTAAATCAAATGTAAACTAACCCATTTAGATTGCTTAAAGAATTCATAAACCTAATCTTTTCTCTTTTTTTTTTGTAACTTGAATGTAAGTTAGTATTCTTATATTTTAATTTTCAAGCTCAACTCACAGTAAAAAATGTTCTTCTTGATAGTATAACATGAATTTTTCGAACAATTTTCTCTTCCCAAAATATATTATAAGTGTATGAGTTATCGTTAACATAATATTAATTTTCAACAAAGTATCAAGTTTAATATGAACTATGAAGGGAGTCCAAACCCTTAAGTTGAATTCCAAATTTTCTAGATTAAATCTGAATAGAAGTCAATCTTAACTTCAAATCAGGTCTTGAATCTTCATTTTACTAAAGAAAATTTCAGAACAAAAATTTTAGTTTGGAAAAATATGTAATTCACTAATATCTAGTCGAGAGCACATTTTTGAAGCAGAAAAACAAGAATAGGCGAGGGTAATAAAAATTATGTATTTATATGATCCCAACCAGTTCATTCAATTCTAGGTTCCTACATTTTTATGTAACTGAGAACAATATTTTAGGGTAACATAAAAATTTGGTCAATTTGTACAGTAAATAATTGTTAATATAGAAAGAATTACTCCATTACTGTTACTACAAAGAGCTCTGAACAGATCAAAAACCTATTTAATGCTTGAAGTATTGTAGTTAAACCCAGTATTTTTCTGATCACTTGCAATATTTTTTTTTCCGATTTGAAGGATGAAGTTAAACCATGTGAATATTGTTTAACAATTTTTACAACTAAAAAATAATTTTGTAGGAAGGGAATGAATTAAATGAATGAATAAAATTGTTACTTATGTATATACAATTAAAGACAAATTTGACACAATTAGAGAAATTATCATGTATTTTATAAAGTTAGTAGTTCATACGCCAATTAAAAGAGCTTATCGTTGACAGTTTTATGAACATTTAGATTGCAAATCACAGACAAACGTTATAAATATACAATTGAGTCATCTGTTCTTATAAATGATTGAATTAATCTAACATAAAATTCAAGTTGAACAACAAATGCATCTAGCAGAGTTTTACAAACATTTCATACTTAATAACAGTTTATTAAAATAATAAATTTACAACAAAATTATTTTCTGAAAAATCCAACAATAGAAAAACATAAAAAAAAAAGAAGGAAGATTGTATAAATTTGGTTTACAATATTACAATAAAAAAATGTGATGAATAGTTTACAATTAAATTCTTTGTACACATATATATTAGTCAGCTAATGTCTACTAACTAGTAATTAAAAAGGTTCTTTTCTTTTTTTTTTTTAATAAAATAGAAACTCCGATGTGTTTTTTAAAAATAAATACTGCCAAAATACAAATAAAAAAAAGGAAATAAAATATCCTTAGTTAATTTTGTTTAAAAAAAAAATTAAATAGTAAGGAATGCAACAAACGGAATCTAACAGTACTTTATTAAGCCTATAAGAACAATATCAATTAGGAAATTTAAATATAAAGTTATTTATATATATAGCACTCTTGGAACACTGCATCACTATAGTTATATTGTTTCTCACGCATTATCAGTCTCAATTATATTATAATTTTAGGAAACTTTATCACACAATATGTGAAAAAGTGTAAGAGCTGCACGTTCTCAAAGACCAAATGACCTCAAAGAATGGAGTTGAGAACATTATCAAAATGATTTTAAGATATTTTCTTTTTTAAATTAAACTTTCCTAATACCAACATTTTACAATTCATCCTTTGTAGGTAAATCTCCCTTCTCCTCTTCCTCTTCTTCTTCCTCCTTCTAAAATAAAAAATAAATAAATAATTAAGTAGCAAATATATAATAAAAATATTGTTTCTATGGATTTAAAGAATAAAATATCATGCATAATATTTGTAGTATATCCTAAATCTTATAATTTTGTGTGTTTTACCGGAGTGTAAATTGGTTCATGTTTTCTGTTGCAATTTAATTGTCTGAATCATTTTATTTTAAAAAGAACATGTGTTTTTTATTTGATGTGAACAAGTTTTGGATTATTGAATAATTGAATTACAACCTTTATTTTGAATTGTATATAAAAATATTCAACTTGGCTGACATTTTTTTTACTTTATGAAGATGATAAATAGTCAAGATTTTGAGTCTAGATTAGTTGAATTCAGCTAGTTGTTAAATTTCCATGATGCACCTGAATCTAATTAAAGTAAAATCCCAATGAAAGTTATTTCATCCAACACAAAAAAGAGAATTATTTCACTTTTTTTTTTCTTCAAACTTTCCCTTAAGTTTGTGACCAGGTTTATTATTTAACATTCCCAAGTATTGAAATCTCGTTCGTGGGAATTAATAGCACACATAAAAATAATTAATAATAAATTTAAATAATTAAGTACAGTCCATACTCGATTACTTAGACCACTACGGCACGGGTTCGATTCTCACATAGAGATGGTAACGTCCCTACCCTGAGATTCATAGAGAGGTGAGCGATCCGTGTGTCTTAAACCATAGCTCCTAGTCCTCCAGATTGGGGGTTTGGTGTAGGCTAATTCCCTACCCCATATAAAAACTGGGTGGAAGATTGAATCAAAAGATTGCCAACTATACTGCAGGAAAGTTCCTGTTGAAGAGGGAGTGAAATGAGATCGGATCCGGTTAGTAAACCACGTGCTCCCTGGATACCTCGAAGAGAAAAAAAAAGATCACTACTGTCGACCAAAACATCCCCTAAGCTGCTGAAGAAGACTCACGACTTAAAAAGTCAAAGTCAACAGGCGTAGTGAAAAAAAAAAATTATTTAATATTCCCCGTTATATAGTTCCCTTAATTGGAACAAAATCAAAACTAAAATAGTTCACTGTTTTCAAAGCAAACCTTAGAAACTGAACATTTTGCTTTAAAAAGGTTCTAATATTTCTTTCAATATATGAAGTACCTCATACCTTTGACCAAATTAACATGGTTTTAGGTATTACTAACTTCATAAATTATATTAAGCAATATACAGTCTGAAAATAAAACTACAGTATACATTAATAAACAGATTAAGTAAGTTATTTTTCGCTGAAGATTAGATTTGTTAATATTTGAGATAACCTTCAATTTTTATCAAATATAATGAATATGGTTTTCATACTTATTTTCTTCACTTTATACAATCATTTGCAGATAAAATAAGATACAAGTCCAACAAATGCACTTATATAGGAGGAGTCTTACATGACATTATTCAATGAAGAAAGTGTGATAAGCATTATTCTTGATTTCCCATATTTATCTCCTGACGCATATTATAGTCTGGGAGCCAGTGGCAAAAAATGTGTCTTATTTCATACTAACGTTTGTCCTTATAAATCGATTAACTCCACAGGTCTGGTGAGACAAATGCACGTCTACCACCACATAGCTGATGGAATACGGTTTCATTGCTGGCATATGTGCATTTTTCTCATCAGGCCTGTGAATATAGTTAATTTTTAAGTACAAACCTAGACATATTTTTTGCCATGGGCTCCCAGACTATTACGTACTTACCTCAATGTTGAATGGACCAAAATTAAAAACTAAAATCCCAATTAATATAAAGACCAATAATTTACTGATATGAGAAAATTCAGCATGCTAAATCAGGATTTGTTTAACTGGTGTATACTTACAGGTTCGTCTTCTTCCTTGACACCTTTTCCATACTCTCCTCCGGACTCGATGAATTTAGTCATTCCCTCTAATGTTCTGTCAGCGTTATAATCAACGACCTTAACCAAAAAGAAAAATATTAATATTTTTATAATTAACTAAGATAATTTAAAGATTAATGAGAAAAGTTTCAAAGCTTACTTCATTATCTCCTTTTTTGTACAATTTGATAGTTGGGAATGAGCTGATCTTAGTATGTTCCAATTCATTGGCAGTAGCATCGATTTTGGCAATAACGACATCATCTCTATCTTTGAAAGCTTCTCCCAGCTGAAAAAAAGGCAATAAATGAAGTTTCATAATTCTAATTACAAATACTTAAAATTAGATCCTGAGTTTTCAATGTTGACAAAATATAAAATATAAAGAATAAAGAAACTAGTAGAGAAAAAAAGAGCTTATACTTGAAATCCTGTATTCAAGATTAAGTCCAGTTAGAATCCGTCTAAGATAAGTTTGTCGGTGGATAGAGGGGAAGAGAGGTGCAAAACGTTTTCCCGATGAAGTGGAAAGCAAACGGGTATATTTACGAGTTTTTAGTACGTAATAAAATAGACAAAGTTTGCCCTGACCTCCAGATTGAAAACGCCCCAATTCCAAGAATTTTCATAAATAAAATATTTGTAGGTTACAATGAGATGAAGCTATTTACGAAGTTTCAGGCGGATGTTAAGAATTAGATAAAAAGATGTCTTTACACAACAGACTAATTAATTTATTTGAATACATAGAAACTGTGTGAGTACCTATCTAAAATACAATAGATCTGATTGAATTAATATGAGTTTATACCATAACATTTGATCCGTTGAACAAAGCTTTCCACTTTGTAGGCAACTTTTTCTGAACATATTTAGGTTGTAAAATTATGTAAAGGGGTATGTATACCCAAAAAATATATATATCTATGAATATGAACATACCTGATCATAAATAGGAGCAAGCTGCTTACAATGACCACACCATGGTGCATAAAATTCAACAAGAACATGCTTCTCCTTGTCAAAGACGACTTCATCAAAGTTGGTAGCAACTAATACCTTAACTGGCTGTTTGTCCCAATCTTCTGGAACAGGTTGCGAGAGGAGGTGTTCCTAAAAAATAAATAAATAAATATACAATGATATAAAATTTGGTAATGATGTCCTAACACAGATAAGGATTTTAACTATATAATTAAAAATAAATCCAATTATTACCTTGAGAGTTCCATCAATATAAGACTGGACAAATCCTTTAACATTATCAGCAGACAAATCATCACTGTCTGGTTTGTATTTGAGCATGTCTTCTTCGAGACGGATGATCCTCATAGTTGGTACCAGAGTGGCAGAGATTCCGAAATATTCCATTATCCTGTTGTGATCAGGCTCATCAACGTCAATTGTCACAAAGAGGAGCTATAAATAAAAACAATTCAATTAATTACATCTATAGGAAATATACAACAACACAACCAGGTTACATAAATTAAAAATCCCAATTTTTTAATTTTTTTTTTTCAAGGGTTAATAACAAGTAAAGGTTTTAAATTAGTAAAAAAAAATTAAATCTATAATTTTCATTAATAGATTGAATTTTGATTAAATCCTTGAAACTATGATTACAAATACAATTTCAATAGAACCACCCATTTAATGTACTTGTTACTCCTACCAGTACATCAATGACAAAAAATGAAACAATAGTAGACCACACTTTTGCTAATCTAAACAAAATAAAATAAGGTGGTTCAAATTAATGAAAAAAATAAACTAACAAAACCGAAGCAATGAATGTCTATCGCATTAGTAAAAAAATACAGATGATGGAAAGGTTAAAGGTTATAAAAAAAAACCTCCATTTTGAACAAAATCGTTTTCTTATCTTAAAGAGATTGGTAGCGTCGTAAATAAAGAAACAAATTATTTTAAATTTAATTTTGTATTTTATAATTTCAAGTAAACCAACAGAACTAAAATTAATGAGAAAGGTTGTTAAGAACTTTAAAACTATCCAACAAATTTAGGGTTATAACCTTTTATCTATCCACCATCGATATTAAGTATTTTATAACAAAAAAAATCTAGAACTCTATTGTGACCACACCCTTTTTGACTTCCTCTAAAAATATTTATACAGATAATATTATTATTTCCCATGTTAGACTTCTTAAGTGAGTTTAATTTCATTTATGATTGTAACGCATTTAACTTATACTATTGATTTCTTTAATTATGTTTCCCCAAAAACTTCAATTTTTTTTCTGCACTATAAACTTATAAGATGTTTGTGTTAATGTGTACAATATGCACTACATAAATATAAATACTTACGTTGCTCTTGAACTGCCTAGCAAGTGGTTTCAAAGGTGGAAGAAGTTGGTCAAGATGTCCTTGCTTCTTAGACAAGAAGAACAACAGATGAGATTTGATGCCACCACCTGTAAATGAATAAATAACTTAAATATATTCACTTTAATAAGAAATTTTTATGTTAAATTAAATTAAGAATGGTCTATTCCTCAAATAGTTTTTCATTTCTCTTCAACATTCAGGTTCCTATAAATAATAAATATTTTATTCTTTAATTGGTTAATTTTTAAGTAAAAAAAATAAGCGAATTGAATGACACAGATATAATTATTAAAACTAATAAATAAAGTGCACTAAAATCACATTTTGACATATTCCCTGTTGGACAATAATAAATAATTTATAATAATTAAATTTGGCTGTTTAATCTATATATATGTATATATATAAAAACGAATGTATGTATGTCTGTCTGTTTGTTCTTTAAGCATTACTAAACCATTCCATTCATCTGACCGCCATGAAACTTTGGGAAGTTGTTGCGTACACTCCCACAAAGGTTTCTGACGCAGTTCTTCTGTCTTACGATAATTTTATAAGTGAAAAAATGTAAATGTTTTTTTGGTTCAAAGCCGCTATTCTCCAAAAGTTCTTCACCGATTGCTTTGAAATTTGGACACAGAGTTGCAATAAAATTTAGGAGCGTTCTTTGAACATTTTATGACCATGCGGTCTTTCGTTTCGAAATGGTGGCCGAAAAACAAGTCGCTATAAACTGTAGCGATAAAACGGCTGTAACGATTTTAATGAAACTTGGCTAAAGTCTTCCCTTTAAAACTCTTTTAATTTATGTATATAACACAATTTCCCAAAAACAAGCTACAAAAAAAAGATGTCACCATAAATTCAGAATTTTAATTGCGAAAAACTAAAAATAGTACACATTTTTTGATTGATAATACCCATATTTATTTTATCACTTCTTCAATTTCCTACAAATTAAAAAAAAATGTCATCGAAATGGATAAGAATTATCTCCGAAATGAAACAATTTGTTGCGGCCGTAGGAGTAAAGATGGTTAAAATATATTTTTAAGGAGAAACAAAGTTGAGATTTGTATTTCGCACCTCGATAAACCCTCAATACCAATTTTTATCGGAATCGAAAAATAAATTTTTTTGTCTCAAATTTTCATCAACGCCAGGACCATCAATTTTATTTCAGAAACCACAAAAACTGTGATAACTTAATCATGGCTCCACCTATACACACGAAAATAAGTAGGGATTTAGGACCTCGTAAATTGCACAAAATGCAACAAACCGTACCCTCGTAAGCATATTAGAACTGGAGATAAAAAATGAAAAAGCATTAGGAGATAATACCCATATTTATTATCGAATATTTAATACCCAATACCCAATTGAAAAATCGAAATTGGAGAATTCCTTGTAGAGATATAGAGCAGTAAACATTTAATACTGTTTTTTCGGCAAAGGCCATTCCCCCCTTGAGTTATTGACAAATCGAAACATTTATAATTACTGAAGTAATTGAGATAATCTTTTGAAGAAGTTATATGATTCTCCTTATGTAGGTAAATACTATTACACACTCTAAATTAAAATTTATATTTTCATGTATTCAGGAAGTAGTATGATAAATCTCAAATATTTGATAAGCTATTATTTATAAACAATTCACCCTTGAGTATAAAAATTATCACCGTTCATGTTCTCGAGTCCTTTTAGAAATCAGTTTTTCATCAATTTCAGTTTATTTTATTTTTTATTAAATTATTTTCTTTAACATTACATTTGAATAAGGCTGTGCCATAAGATTTATTTTTTCATTACAATTTTTATAACTCTATATCCAATCAAGTTGTTGTTAAGAAGTGGGCAATCAAATATCTTAGGAGGGGTATGCGAAATCTTTTGAAGGAGTTGGAAGGCAGCTCTAATGCACACGAAATGAACGCTATGGTAAGTGGTATTTGAATGTAACGTTAAGCCAAAATTTCAAGGCAATCAGTGAAGAACTTTCCGAGATTTAAGATTTTGAACAAACGAACATTTTTCATTTTTATTTACCATAAAATAACCAAACAAACTTGAACATTAAATTTGCATTAAATTTTAAAATTATTAATAATAAAACTAAACATGAAAATCTCCATATCAAAGACGGATCTCTATCACTTTCAGAAAATGGAGAAAAAATCAATTTTTGTTTTATAGAATCAGTTCAAACTGTTTCTGATGATTTCATTTAAGAATATTCAAGTTCAATCATGAAAAAAAACAACATTAGAATTTGTTTAAATTGAAGCTCAATTAATGAATTAATGTTACAGACAACAAATTTTTTTTTCTCAATTTCTTAAAATAACAGATGCCCTATGAAATTATGCCAGTCATATGTGCTTTCTATTTTCTTTCTTTTCTATTTTGCCATACTGAGCCACGGCAGCGCGTGGCCGAGTAAAGCTGGTTAAAAATAAATTGTTAACTAAACTATATTCCAATTGTTATCAATACCAATTTCCTCTATTAAGCTGATGATAAAGAGTACTAATATGATAAAAGAAAAAAAATGTAAACTTAAATATATTCTTTGGTGTTCGAATTTCCTAATTTAGTTAGTGATGCTAAAACAAAATTAAAAAAAAAAAGTAGTGATCAGAATAACTTACCGAAGATCTTTTGAGCACTTTCATGGTTGAATTCAATGAGCAGAGGAAGAGATTCAGAAAGAATAAAGTTTCTAAGATTGTCGTTATCTCCCATCTTGTCATGTTCGATTTCGGCTTTTCCATCATCAAACTGGAAAATATATACAATATAATATGAAGTTTAAGCAATAGTAAATATAAATGGAGGATGCAATCCTGGTCAGAGTAGGATTTGTAAATCTTAGCTTTTTCCAATGTTCAAATATCCATTGATTAAATTAGTGCTAATGTAGTATTGTTACTTTTTTTTTAAACAATTAATATGGTTTGATGTGATAACCTTGTTAATTCCACCGATTTTTTAAGTCATAGAGCAGTTAGATCCGACTACTACACCGAGTTTAAATATTCACTTATCCATTATCTTAGGATGGATTTTCAAATTTCTGTACCTTTTCTAATTATTTTAATTTTAATTTTTATCTTTTAAGTTTTTCAAATATTGACAATTTATATTCAATATTTACGATAATAATCTTATACACGATATGACCTTTTATCTGGTTGATTTAAACAAATTGTATACAATAATTTGATTGTATTTTCCTAATTAAGCTGAAATTATTTCAAATCGCTCAAGAGATCTCACTGAATAATTTGAGCCATCAAAAATAAAATATGTCGAGCCGTTCACTAAAAAAATCGTTATAAACCTTTCAGCTGCAGCTGTTTGATTAAAACACATTTTATGGGCTAATAGTTTGCGTATTGAGTCTAAATTGTTTCAAAACATTCGATGGATCTCACCGAATAATTTAATCATTCAAGCCATCAAACATAAAATATGTCGAGCCGTTCACTCAAAAAATTGTTATAAACCTTTCAGCTGTTTGATTAAAACACATTTTATGGCCTGATTGTTTGTGATTTGAGTCTAAATTGTTTCAACACTTGATGGATCTCAACGAATAATTTGAGCCATCAAACTTAAAATTCAGTCCAATCGTTCACTAAAAAAAGTTACATACCTTCTTTTAGCAGACAACCCTACACTATAATTGAGTCATAAATAAAAATTCAAAAACAATTAATTATATCTAAGGAACAAATATATATTTTTAAGATTAATCAATGTACTATAAATGCCAATATGGGTGCCTCTAACCTATAAAGTTGCACACGGCACCTAAAATACAATCAAATAAATAAATGCCAATGTTAATCCTAAAAGAAAAAGTTTTGAACATTGATGATAACCGTTTGCTACTTTTGTAAACAATTTTTTTTTTGTCTCATCTTTTCCAGACATGGCACAATAACGCAATGCAATGATGTTTTCCATAGATAATTTTATATCTTTTGAAATTTTACATGATAATACAGCACTGACTTCATAGTATTGAATTTACTAATGAGCAGCATTAAACAGAGTCACACTCTCTAAAAGGTCTGATAGAATTGATTACAAATCAAAAAGAATCAAACACACCAATTAACTAACAGAAAAAAAAATAACTACTTTAGATATTTATGAATGTGAAATTATTGAAAATATCCTTGTGAGTAAATTATATATAATTAATCATTGGATTCGTCAAACCGATGAGAAAATGTATTAAATGTTCAGCATTTAACTTATTTTATTTTATGAATCATTGAAGGAAGCTAGTAGACTGTTCTACATATCATGGGTGATAAATATTCAGTAGTCTTTTAAAAAAATATTTTTTTTTAAAAGACTGCGTCCTGAATATTTATCACCCATTCTTTTATTTTAAATTATTTATCTGAAATTTTTATTTAAATGATATTTCAATGTGAAATACTACAATTGAAAATCACTGTGAATTTTTGCGTCATTAAATACAATCAAAATTAAAAAAAAAAGGTAGTAAAAATATTAATTCCTATCTTGACGTAGATGAACCACGATTAAGAGCTTTTATATAATCTAAAGATTATTAGTTATTTCTTATTATCTGCTACTAATAGATAAAAATATTAACATTTTCTCAGAGAAAAAGTCACATTAAAATGGAAATATCCTTGAATTAATTGTTAGATGTTACAGGAGTAAATACATCAATTAAAAAAAAAAATGAGTCTTCAAATATATTTTTTTATATCATGACTGGTTTCAGTTATTAATCTTTTCCTCAGGCTTATTTGTGATAGTCCTCCTATTTTGCTATTTGTAAAATAAGGATCCTCATGGAATAAAAATGACAGTGAAATATACTTGGATTATTTAGTAAGCTAATGTTATATAACAAAAAAATTAGCTTTAAGTCTTTAATTCTTAGCCATTTTGTGAATTCCTTAATTAGAAAAAATAATAATAATTTAAGCAATCTGTCGAATGGACTAGAAATTACTAATTTCTTTGGGGATTTTTAAAAGTTTTTATTAGCATATATAAACTGCACGTTAGAGCATACATTAATTCAGGAGTCAATTTTTTAAAAATAATTACCTATATTTTTGACACCATACTGATCTGTCATTACTATAATAGGAATAAAACTTCTTTTAAAAAATGTTAAAATATATCTCATTATTATTTTTTACAAATTTTTGTCTGAGCCTTCATACAAGTAATCATATTAAGGACAGACTTTGATTCGTTGAATAATATTTTAAAGAATATCAATTTGAAAAATAGGTTTAACTCTATTTTTACAATATGTACCCCCTTTACATTGGTAAGTCTTATCTACGTCCAGTGTAAATAGTAGGTAACGAAAATAAGTAACCAAAGTAAAATTAAGCCTCATAATTTATATAAAAATTACATCAAACTTTGCACAAATATTTTAACTCCAATACTCTTTGAATAGTTATTTTTACGCTTGATTTATATATTTTTTTATTTTAAAAAATAAAGTGGGAAATTATTGATTAACTTAAAACTTAAGAAAATCCTAATTTTTTTTATTTGTTCAAACTGGTAGTCACTGAGTGTTTTACTTAAGTTAACTCATGAACGAGTTAAATTAATGAATGACAAACATAGGTTTTAAAATTGTTAGCATAATATGTTGGAAGAAAAATAAAGTAAATAAGTAAAACTATTGTGCAACTCCAGAGAGTAATAGAATCTAGAACTCTATAAAATGTCATCTTAAAAAATATTAAATTAAAAACTTAACCTATTCATACTGAATAACCTATTAATAATTTCATCAGTCAAGAGGAAAAAATACATATATATTTATTCCAAAGTTCGAATCTTGATTCTTCTGCATAAGGCCAAAGCACCGCGTCACACCTCAAGTTTAAATTATCTTCTAAAACGGGACGATATCAATATCAATTCTACAACATCAGTAAAGAAGTTAAGCATCATGATCTACCAAACTAAATAAGCTAAGTCCAAATATTGATAAAAACTAATTCAACAAATACTCGAAATAAAAATAATTAATGGACATACAATTATAATAAAAAGGGTTAATGCAGACTTTTGTAAAGACATTCCAAAATCTATGGCCAAGGAGAATCCAAGCCAATGATGTTTTTTAAGATTTCACTTTTAAAAATTCTATAGAAAAGAATTATTTATTTGTTAGACATACCATGGAAGTCTCAAGCTGATAATTGGAATACAACTGTAATATAATTTTGTAATGTAAAATTTGAATTGACTTCCAGAAGAAGAAAGTTCTATTGCCACAATAATGTTTTATTTTTATATTTGTTGCTTATTGTATACGTAATTCAAAACAGATATACTAATATTACAAATAATTTTAAAAATGTATAGAGTAAGTGAAAAAATTAGGAGTGGAACAGATTCAATAATTGAGTTGAATTGGGTTCTTACCAGAAGTGAATCGTGAATATGATTGCTTCTGTGCAATGATTTTTTTGACGAACACAAAGTCATTTTAATGAGTGAGCATTAACAACTAAACCTTGAATGAGTAAAATGTATTTAATTTTAGTCATGGATAATGACTTATTGACAACAAAAATGAAACCATGAGGTTTTCAGAATTATATTGGATGAAAAAAGTATTGTACATTAATTAATGCACAATTATGAATCGTTTGTAATAAATTTATCATTAAATAATAAAGAGCTGCATGAAATGTATGCGAGGCCGGATTTGGTCTCAATTGTGAGGGGAAACCAGATGGTTGGGCCATGTAGCGCGCATGACCCGAGACACGATTCCCAAACGCTTGCCAGAGGATCAGCCTGCTGGAAAACGTGGAAGAGGAAGACCACACCTGAGATGGCTGGACCAGGTAGACGACAGCCTGAAAAGGATGGGAATCCAAAGATGGAGAATGCTCGCTTGGGATAGAGGAGAGTGGTGAAGGATCATAAGAGAGGCCCAGGTTCTGACAGGACCGTAGCGCCAAGAATAAAAAAAAAATTGTAATAAATTATCAATTCTTATTCTCAGGATAGTTTGTTAATTATTAACAATGTAACCATTAAGGAATGAGACATGAAAATTAAGTTTAAATTGCGAATAGTTTATGAGTGAATCATGAGTGGCAATGAATTAAGCTAGGTGGAACAACTTCCATAATTCACACACCATTGGAACTCAGATTTGTACTGAAACCCCATAAGAATTCAAAGCAAATGCTATATATATAAAATAAAAGCAAATGCAATCTATACCCAATAACCATTTATCATTGGGTTAACTTCAACTTCTATTTTTATGAGATAGTATTATATTCTTCTTAATGAGAATAAATTAAATATTTCCATCTAAGAATTTTTTGTTATAAATTTTGAAACTTTTTTGGAAATGGGAATTAAAATTCACATAGCAAAAAGTGTTCGATAGAAAAAAAGTCATTCTAGTAAACAGTGAATAATAAATATATTCGATTCTTATTAATGTTTCTGAAACATTAACACTCCATTTCATTTAGCTATAATAATGCTACCAGAAACGAAAGTTTAGAAAAAGAAATATTTCTTTTAAGTTGCATAATTTCAACCATAATCAGTAATTTGAATTTTATACAGATAAATGATAAATTTGTTTGTTTAAAATAAACAAATTTTTTATCAAAAAACAAACCAAAATATGGATTATAGAAAAGTATCTCAGGTCAGCATAAAGTAATAATCAACCACGTTCACCTAAAGAGAGAGATAAAGCAATGTACTTAACTCAGAACACTTCAATGTTCTTTCCAAAAAAAAAGATAATGACGTCATTCTATTATTTACTATAAATGACTAAATCATGATAAAAATATGACTAACAAAAAATTGCAGATTTTGATTTTTTTTTTTTTAAATGGTGCGTTAGAAATAAAATATAACATTATAACAAAGTAAGATTTCCATAAATTATTACCGATTTAAAGACAATGACTTTTCCTTCCCCATCTTCAGATCCATATTCTTTAAGAACTTCAGGATCAGATGATATTCCAAATGGACTTTCATCAATTGAAGAAGCAACTGAAATAAACTGCTTGGCAGCATCACTCTCTTGATTCTTGAACAGACCAAGAACAACTACATTTCCACCTTGCTCGACAAATTCCTTGACTTCACTTACACCAGACAACGATTTAGCAGGTGGACCTGACTTCTTGGTAACCCAACTAACAATGTCATCAGCCTGTCGCCCACCTAAAATAAAAAAACAAACTTATGAAATAAAATTTGTAGAAAATCAATTTATTTTAATTTTATTACAAAGCTAGATAACAAACAACATATAACAAAAACTAAAAACATGAATAAAAATTTAACTAATTCAAAAAAGATAAGTTATTGATTTTATTATTGCAATAAAAATTTGTCTAGTAAACAAAAATATTGAATAGTAACACAAAATGTAAGTAATCAAACTAACTTAACAAAACTTAAATCATTATATTTTATAGTGTTAAAACACAAACTGAGAAATTATAACAAATAAAGAGACTTTTGGCGATTGTTTTGTAAATTCTGAAACTTGGATTACATAATTTTTTTTTTTATAAATTGAATTGTAATGAAACTGAATATTATCAAATGTATTATAAAATACCGAGATTGAAAAAAAAAATTGTTAAACAGTAAAAAATGATGGTTCAGAAAAACTACTTATTTTTGTTTTACATATAAATAAGTAGGAATCTTTGATAAAGGGAAAGGATCTCTTCAACTTCCTGGAAGTTGAAAGGTCAAATAAGGTCATGCTAGGTGAAAAGGATTGGTATGAGAGCTTGAAAAACATCCAATCTCCACCAGTGACACGATTATGAAAATAAGCAAATGAATTTTTTTTTATCTAAAACCATTACAGTTCAATAAATAAAAACAGTGAGATTACCTATCTATATGATATAAATCACAAGTATTATTAATTGATAACTAGTTCAATTAATTTTAACCCCGCAAGTTTAAAAAAACATAATCAGAGGATTATTAAAAATGAACATTAAAATAAAAATTATAAGACACTTTACTAAATGAGAGTGAAATGATGAAAAACAGAGAAGAAAAAGAAAACAAAAGATTTTTTAACATATGAAAAAAACAATAAAAATTTGATTTTCAATTTTCTTTAACCATAATCAATTCAACTTCATTTAAATAAACAATAACTAATGTTATTTGTTACTATAAAAGAACAAATTGGTTTTATGGATTGAGCTGATAATGAAAGTTCAGTTATCAAATTTTATGTGATAATACTAAGATCATGCGTTAAAAAAGTTATTTAAGAATAAAGAATATATGACTAAAAGATGTATTATTAACATAACAGTATAATTCCTAAAACATGGATGGTATACTACAAACTACTAATAAAACAATAAATATACAATTACATCTAAATTACTGAATAATGATAGCAAGTGGTGCATAACTGTTAGGATCATCAAATACCAATTGTATAGATTTCACCTCTTAGTACAATAGATAAGAAAATGGGCATGTTTCACTAGTACATACCAGAATAATCTACTGGGGACCCCTTTTTGAAGAATTTAAGAGTAGGGTATCCTCGGACACCATGTTTCTCAGCAAGTTCAGTTTCTTCTGTCGCATCGACTTTGGCAAGTTTGATAGGGGATCCTAAGTCTTTTAGTTTAGAAGCAGCTTTTGCATATTCAGGGGCAAGAGCTTTGCAGTGTCCACACCAAGGTGCATCTGAAACATGGATAAATTTAAGTGGTAATAAACATCAAATGTACCCTTCAAGATCTTATTTTGAGGAAACAATATCCAACTGATTTAGCTCAGACACATTAATGAAAAAATATGCCTACAGTATGTCTATCAAGACAAAACAATAACATGACATATGTTACTTACAGAATTCGACAAGAACATAGTCATGGCTAGTGATGGCATTTTTGAAATTGTTCTTGTCCAAGACAAGAACGCCTTCTTCTTCTTTCAAGGAGCAGAATACGCTTCCGCATATTAAAAACAAGACGAACGTGCCAATAAACATGCTAAAGCACTGAACCGGGAGAAGACGCTAACAAGAATGAAGTTCTCTGAACCGAAGATATCTTTTAACGTGGCAACTTCTCGTGGAGCAGCCTGATTGGACAGTTAACGCTCCGTTATACACATGACGTAGGAAATACTTGTGGGAGTTTTCCCTCTCTCACTGATTTAAAAAGTTTCATATCACAGAAATACAAAATGGAATTATTTCGTTGATTCTATATTGGGCAAACAAACTATACGGTTAATTACAATTTACTCAACACTTATATAAAAATATATTAAAACACCTGGTAGGAAACGATCTAACCTTATCACCTTGAAGCCGCCACCCTCAACTAATATGATTTTATCTCTTATCACTTTTAGTTGTCGGCATCTATTTCTTTTCTCATCAAATGTTTTTCGGCCAATTTCCAACCCTAAACGACCCTGGCTAAAATAAATCCTACTCCTTAGCCAAGTTAAACATGTAAGATATAAGCAGCATTTCTGCAATATTTGACTCAGAGAAATTTTAGGAATGAGTGATTCTTTGGAAGTTAAGTCAGAATTATATGATGAGGATGAATTTTGTAACAGGAGTAGTCCACATCATTCTAGTAAGTTTAAAGAAAAAATATTTTCAGAAACTTTTCATATATACTAGTTGAAAAAATTCTTTATTAGTTAATTTTTTTCATATCCTTTTAGTTTTATTTTAGATACAATATTCTTCCTTCAGTTTTTTCAAACACATGAAAATATAGACTTCAGCATAAAAAGTGATGGTGATGAAGATGTAATTGTACCAAGGAGGAAATACCAAACAATTGATATTGGTAATTAATAATTCTTATAATAAATTCCAAATTCATATTCTAATTTTAATATTATAATGTATATTTTTTATTACTTGGAACTTCATTTCAGTTATTGACAAGGGTGTCATATATTTTTTCAATTCAGTGGAATAACATGTGTTTGGTCTGAATAAAATATTAACTTTTTTGTTAATCAGCTCTGATAAGACTAAAATTTTTATTTTCAGTTGTTTTAATTTTCTTTGGGATTTTTTTCCCTCAATCAATTTTAAATTATAGTTGTTACAACTTTTATTTAAAAACATTTATTTATAATTTCAGTTAATTCTATTACTTTAATCCATAAATAGTTATTGTATAGTGAATTTTAAAAGAATAAGGCAATTCATTCATGATAAATTGTATCTTAAGCTCCATACTGTTTATTTTCCATCTCGTATAGCTTTCTTTTATTTAAACTTTTACAACAGAACTTTTATTACAAATACAAAAAAGGTTTTTTTTTTTAAAGTTCTCTAATTTTAAAAATCAAGTTCCTTAAAAAATGGAACAAAGTTTTAAGCCTTAGTTATTATAATTATGCTATAAGTTATTGAAGTTAAAATTAAAAATCTCTTTAGAAGAACTTAATTTAACTGTATTTGATAATTCCAATAAAATCGACATTGATTTATTTTTCCTTTATCTCTGAATTTTTAAATACTATTTTTTTTTATTTAATGGTTTGTTTCTAAAAATGTATCCTATTTGCCAAAGAATGTACAGTTTTGTCTCTTAGCCGATCATACTGAATATTGATTGTTTTATTGTACTTCTATTAATAGTATTTAAAATAAATAAATATTGACCTTTTTAAAAAAATTATCTGAGAACCTCTTAACTTAAATTTTACCAGGACTGTATGTATGCTTATTCACAAAATTAATACATTGTTAAACAGTATAGACTTAATGTTAGCCAAAATATCAAACTATTCATCAAATAGTACTGATTGTCAAATAAAATGAATAAGTCTAGTGAAATTGATATAAATAACTAGTGTAAATATTAGATTTTATTAGTTAAATGTGCTATTGGAAGTTTATATTATGTTTTATTATTTCTTAGTTCTTTAATATGAAATTTTAACATTTATCTGATGAAAAAATTAGATAGTATTTTTTTTAATTTATGGTAGAATGCAGTCCATCAACATCTTTGTCTCTTGTTGGATTACAACTATGGAGAGGGGCATTTGTTCTAGCCGACTTCATTTTGTCAAATCATGTTGATTTCTCCAGTAAGACAGTTCTGGAAGTCGGTTCCGGTGTTGGATTTACTAGCATTGTAGCTTCAATGTTTGCTAAAGAAGTTATTTGCACAGGTAAAAATTGATGACAGTCAAATATTGTTATAACCTTGACATATTGTACTATTTCTGAATTGATTACCAAATTATTTTTGAGTTAATTACTTAGTTCCTTAGTTGGAAATTTATACCATTTTTTAAAAAGAAATATAATCATTATTCATCTTCAAAAATTATATTAACTGTAATATAAATAATTATTCTACTGTATAGAATCATCACAACAGTTTTCTATTCAATTTAAATAATGAGAAAAAATGTATTGTGTGTCCAGTCTCATGACTTTGCAACCAATTTTAGAAAAAATTCAAACCATTTTTAATTTAATATTTGTAAGCAATTTAATGATTATCTTTCAATGAGTATCTTATATATTCCACAAGAGGTATAGTTTTTAATTTATTAGAAAAAAAAAAATGTTCCATTAACAATACTATCTTTCTCTTTACCTAGTAAAAGTAGAAAAGTAATAAACATTTGTTGAAAAATGCTCACTTAAGATTATATTTGATTATATTAATTTTTCATATACTGTAGAAAAATTAAAAAAATCGAACAGGTTCCTTGGAAGTAAGAGCAAAATGTTTTTAAAAACTTGGAAAAGTACTTTATTATTTCATGAATTTTCTTGTTCGAATTCAATGTTTTTTTTCTTTCTAGTTACTTTTCATATTATTCTAATTATAATTTACCAGTAAGTATATACTTTTTGAGTTATGACTTAACAAAATTTTTATTATAAACTTTTTCCTGCTTAAAAGTTATATAAGTTATAAAATGACTGAAAGGTAAAGACTAAAGGCAAGTTTCGTCAAAATTGTTAAAGCCATTTTGGTACTGGTCTACAACAATGCCCAGTTTGCTACTCAAGCATCAGAGGCTGAAACTTTACGAAACAAAAATATGAAGTAACAAAATCGATCATGGCTGAAAATGAAAGATTTTTTGAAAACTGCATATTGAAAATTTGATTACAATACTTTCATTATCTAGTTACAGAAGGAAAGTAATGAATGGAAATCAATGTGTACTTTATTTGTTACAAGTTAATCCTTTAACTGCTAACGACGCTGATGCAACAGCATGTGTCCCTTTTGCTAATGACACGCCCCATTTCATCTCTCATTGCTAATGTGGGCTATAGCCGTCTCACTACTTTTCTTTATATTTGCTAATGTTGAGTTTAGCCAGCGTGACCTTGCTACATTCTATTGGTTTTCTAGTGCAATAAAGCTAACTAGAGTCTACGGATAGCATGGGGATTTATTTTAGAGTTTTTTTTGTATAATCCTGACCGTTATAGGCACAGAAGATTATGTACGTTCTGAAGTTGTTTGGTTTGTTCTAAAAAAATATTTGGAGTAAAACAAAAGTTGAATATCGCAATTGTAAGGTTAGTCTTTGTATTGACAAATGCTTCGAAGAATACTATACAAAATTAAATTATTAAATATATATTTAAACATCTATAAAAAAAAAATTTGAACTCCACCAAAGTCGATCCACAGCCAGAATAAAAAGAAGGATGGAAACAATAAAAAAAGGTTAAGAAATATTAGTAAGAGCTGTTAACAAAGGGTGGAAAGCAAGTAAGAAGTATGTAGCATGGGCCAGTAGTCAGGTAGCCGTCACTGTTGTAGAAGTAAAGCTCATCACTTACAGCAGAGAAAAGGTTAAGAAGAACAACAAAATCATGCAAAATAATTAAAGTTTTGAAAATAAATAAAGCTATTTTTAGTATCAGACTGTTTATTGAAGGGTTAGTCCAACCCCTGTACAACCGGAACTTCTATTCATCATATATCTCATAATAAAATAATAATAATTAATTAAGTTAAATATATGAGTTAAAATAAGTTGGTGCCAGTGCCTACTCATCTAATGTACTAATCTGCTGTCATATAATAGATAAGGAATGATAGATTTGAATTTTTTTGCTATCTATTTATGTGAATAAAAATAGCATTTTATTTTTTATGTTCTTTCCTTCTTGTTACAGACATCGCAGATGAAGGTTTATTGGACATGATAAAGAGAAATATTAAAAGAAATGAGAGTATAATAAAAGCAGATGTTTCTGTTCTCCCTCTAGATTTCTATTCTGATCATTATTCAGAAGAATTAACCAAGAAATTAGAAAATGTAGATATAATCTTAGCTGCTGATGGTAAATATGTTTATAAATTATGGATCTAATTAGGTTTAGCTGTTAAGTTGTTGATTTTTTTTTTAAAAATTAATGTTTGAATAGAATCATAGTAATGAAGAACAGAATGATTAGTCTCATCAGTTTAAACTGAGCATTTTTAATAATTTATTTTATTTAGTAAAATTAAAATGATAATAAGCCTTTCTGGCATTATTTAAAAATACTAATAAAATAAAATGAAGAGAATGGATGGGTGCTTTAAAGAGAAAGATTAAATTAAAAACGTAGTTAAGAGCATAAATATTTAGGAAAGGGCGGTTCTTTGGAAGAAATGTTCAGATAATTCAAATCTGTTAATTGCTGCAATGGTATGTGTATAAACGTATAAGTCTTAGAAATAGGTGTGGTTAATGAGAATGATATCATATAAGGAATCCTAAACAAAATTTAGAAAAATAATTCGATATAGGATGACGAATATTAGTAAATATCAGATATGAATATTGTAAAGGACTTCCTTTATATTTTACTGCAGTAGATTTGTTAAAGCTTAGGGGTCTTAAAGTTAATGCAGATAGCAGATCCTGGACCTATTGAGCATAAGCTGTATTGACATTTATGTAATATACAATGTACTAAACAGGTAAAGTTAACAAAAATTATAGGAATGGGCAAAAAGGTTCAGAACAGAGAGAAAATATTTCAGTGAATCTTATCAAGAGAATAAATATACTTAAGAAAAGAGATTAAGTAAAATACATTAAACTTCAAAAGTCAGAAATTATCTTCTTTTCTTGTTAACAATATCCTTCCAGTGTAAGGGATCTTTCAACTTCAAATAGCCAGAATCTCTTGGCCAGGTCCTCATGTTTCTTCTCCGTCTCCTCATTCCCTCCATGTGGCTAACAGAAAATTCTGTCTTGTCTACAGATGTTTTGATTTTTGTTGTCAGATTTCGGTGTTGTTAAGACAAGTTTAAATGAAATTTCATTTCTACAACAGGAATCCAGTTCTGTGGTCTCTTAGCCATGGCCCAGCTTTCTGCCCAATATATAACAAGTAGAAAGTAAATAGGGTTTATTCCAGTGAAAATTGAATTCTGATTGACTTCTGTCTTTTCGAGATCACAATTACAAATTTGTTGGTTTAAGGAGTCAGAAACCTTATAGATTATGGTCAATAATTATAAAATAATAAATAATGTCATTAATCATAAAATTATTCTATTTAGTATCAATTGATGTATATATCGTCAGTTTATTGCAAAAAGTCACTAAATGCATTTTCAATATAGGTTAACTTTTTAAATTGGGTTTGTAAATTTTGATTTTATTTGTCAATACAAAAACATGGTAAATGCATACAATTGAAACAAACCCTTTTATATGTGAAATATAGCTCATAATTTTCTTATTTCTTAAAGGCAAAATTCTTCGAAGTTCTTAATTATTTAATGTTATTGGATGAAACTTAATGGCTTTTTATAATAAACCGTTGATATTAATTTATTATTACAACAAATTTAATACACTAATCAAAGAATATAAACAATCATTTAAATCAAACAATATTTACAATAAATGCAGACTTTTTTTTTTTTTTTTTTGTTCTTCCCTACCTTGCCTTTTAGGCTATACGGGATTTTCCCGGGTCGGGGGGTGAGGGCGGGGAATTTAAAATCCCCTCCGTCACCGGGACGCGAACTCGTACTTTTTATATCATCTCAAATCTCTGTTATCCGGTTGCCAGGCAACTAGCGGTGCTGTTACACACGCTTTAGCCTATTCAGCCACCCCGCCCCCTGATAAATGCAGACTATTTACAAACAAATATTCTGTTTATTATCCATGTTACCCCTGCCTAACTGTTATCTTCACAGATATCCCACCTTGGCAATGCTCCCCCTAGACAGTGTTGCCGTGATACGAGATTCATTCTCAGACCATCCCCCACACTGTGGTTTCGTTCCATTTATTTTATGTATAATAATAATTTTATGTATAATTAGTAGAATGGGGGTTGGTGGTCTGCCATTAGTCGGACAGAGTAGTACCTCCCTAGATATATATATTTTTTTCTTTTTTTCAGTTATCTATGATAATGATCTAACAGAAGCTTTTGTTAAGACTTTAATTAAACTTCTTAATACACCTAAGAAGAAGAAATTCTATATTGCATTAGAGAAAAGGTATTTTATTATTATTATTATTTATTTATAAAAATATGTATGCTCGACCACAATAAATTGGCAGGCCAAGGGTAAAATCATGCAGCACTACGTTTAAGCTAACATTTTATTTTTTCTCCTAGCTCTGGTTCATATATTTTATTTTTCCCCTTTTCAATATGTTTTAGGTGTGTTGTAGACTATTATAAATAGTAAAGTATATATAAAAATCTCAATAGCATGTGATAGCTTTCCTATGACAAGCTAGGCACCAAGGAGGCTTTTGAAAACAACCACGGTTTATCTTGAAAACTATTGATTTTAGGGCTTTAAAATGTTGAGCTCAGTTTTTATACTGTTTGAATAGAGATTATATATTTCATATTTTGATTTAATGTTGATTGTTTTTTTTTTAATTTATCAGCAGTGGCAAGATAGGCTCATACTGAATATATGTAATGATTTTATTTGAAGTCACTTCCTGAAGCTGAAAATTAAAGCTGTTGCAGGGTGACGACTGACCTGGAAAAATGGAAAAATGGAAAACTCAGGGAATTTTTTTAGTATGTAAATATTTTTTTATAATTGGAAATAAATATACAGTGGATATCATTTATAATGACCCTCAAGGGATAAAATTCGTCGTTATAAATGACCACGGTTGTTGTATTCATTCACCTTTGACTGTCAATAATAGTACTGGTCGTCATATTGAAATCAAACTAGGGTAATGAATTAAATTTAAGCAAAATGGACTTAAAACGGTGCTCTTTTAAAAAGAAAAATATACCAATACTATACTATTTACTATATATACCTAGTTCTGCTATAAATACTGTTAGAAAAGTTGAACTTTGTTTACATCCTTGGTTATTATTTAGATAACCCTTACTTCTATCAGGTGTTTTCGTTACATGTCAGGATAATAATCTTAATTAGTTTGTATTTTTCTTTTGCTCAGTTAACATGGAGTGGGATGATAAAGAAAACTGAATAGCTGTGATCGCCTCTCACAAAGTCGGAAAATGTAGGTCTGAGATTTTCAACACTTTAAAACATTTGGGTATTTGTATACCGCACTATAAATAGATATAATGAGACCACCCTATCTGTATGTGACAGACCTCGACCCGGTCGTCTCCACACTGTGAGAACGGCAAATGCAATGAGAGCAGTGGCTGTTCGAATCAAAAGAAATCCCATTCAAAAACAACAAATCATGTCTCGGGAAATGAAAATCTCTGTCAGATCAATGTCTCACATGATAAAACATGACCTTAGGATGGGTGCATTTCGAAGAATGAAAGAACAAAGCTAACCACTTCCCTGAAAAAAAGATGGCATGCCACAGAGCACACCCTAACTTGGAAAGCCTCCAACAATCTCTGGTACGAGCAGTTGAGCACTTTCCTCAAGAAGCGCTGCGTGCTGCTATTGATGACTGGTCATGGAGATTAAATGCCTGTGTCATGGCAAAAGGCGAACATTTTGAGCAATTTCTTCTTTGTTTTACTATCTATACCTATACATTTTATTTTCTAATAAAGTTTTTGAAAAAATTAATTTTTCTGTTGAAATCAGTATATATTTCCTTGTAACAGTATTTATGACAGGACTAGGTATATCTATGGACATCTATTTTTTTTTTTTTTAGTTTTTTTTTCTAATGCCTCTTGACTTATTTGACTTCTGCCATTATCCTTCTAGCCCCTACGGGACTGTTCTAAGCAACAGCTCTGATCGTTTGGTTCTGTTGTTTAAATTTTTTTTTTTTATATATATAGTAATGAACTTCTTAACAGTAATTCGGTCTATAGATGAACGTCCATTAGGACATTTTTCAATCTTAGAATGTCGAGTCCGATCGAACAACTTCTTAAAAAATTGCTTTTCTCCGTATTGAACATGTCAGTGTTATGATAATTTTCCTGAACTGTCGCTAAACTTAATTCTATTTGTTGGTTAACTAGAAAAGAACGCTCACAGCTTTACAGCTAATTTTTTTAAGAACAGTATTATATCTGGAGCAAAATCTTTGTATCCATCCTCACAAAATATTAGTTTGAGGTCCATCGGATGGATCATGAATTGATTTTAAATATTCGTGTTTTTTTCGAGTAAAACATGCTTTAACCCTGATAGCGGAATATTGAGAAGAATCAATTTCCTAGTTCACATTTAGCATGCTGTCTCGAATAGATTTGGAATTTTTTCAAATTGTTGGAAGACAGGTTTAATTCTTGAGCCAGTCTAATATTGGACTCTTCCCTCTCCAGTCGGCAGCATATATGGAATTTTTCTTCCTAGGGAAAACTTCTTGCTCTTCCATATTATTATTACAGTACTAAACAGAAATATGAATTTTACACTAAGATTGGGGAGTGACAATTAATGTTGGCAAACGATAGATACCTATATATTATTTAAATTTTTTTGCATTATATTTTTAGTTAATTCATGTGGCTATGGGGTGGTGCAATTCATTGGCTGGCAAGCACTCATTCGTTTGACCCATGGTGCTCCTTAAAAGAGCATTTATTAACCAGAAATGTCACAATTGGTGTCATATAGATAATTATTATGCTATTTATAGTAATAAAGAAACTTAATTACTTATGAGAAACTATATTAATATTAGAATCCCACTTAGCTCAATATATTTTATAATAGAGAAAATCAGAGCTTTATATGGCAAGTATCAATTTTTACCTCCTCTTAGTTTATAAAATAAAGGTGGTAAAAATAAATGACTAAAAGTATAATTTTATAAAATAAAAAATCCTAATCAAGCTTATTAAATGCTCCTCTAAAACATTAGGTTTGTTATTTAAAAGACCAATTTTTTTTTTTTTTTTTACTCAAGTCATTTTGTAGTCAATTTTCTTTCGTGTATAATAAATAAATTTAGTTATAAATTATACATATTTAATATTTGTGTCCCCAAATATATTGGTCAGGAAAAACTATCATTAAATAGGGAAAAGTCAGGGAATTTTAACTTAACTGTCTGGTAACCAGCCTGTGTTGTGAAGTTACTTCACCAATTTTGAGTAATAAAAGTTATAATATAAAAAATTAAAATAACAATCTATTCTCAGGTAAATTTTTTTGTTACTTCATCATCAGAATATATTTTTTTTCACCTCTTTTCTTGAAACAGCTGAAATACTCTTATTTTATTAGAAATAATTATTCATTGATGAAACAAAGAGGAAATATAAAATTAATACTTGCCTTTACAAGAAGATTCTTAAAGAAAAAGGCTCCTCAGTTTTTGAAACTGCAACAGTAATGTGATAAGATGTGAAATCAAATTAATATTTTGTACCTGTAAGAGTAAGAGCTGAATATGTTATATTAGCATCCAAGGTCAAATGTAGTATGAGCCTGAGTAATATTAAAAAAAAAAAAAATTAAGCGACATGCAATTATCTGGCACAACATGAGTAAGCCTTATTTTGAACTTTACACCTGAATCACAGGCTGGTAGTTTGCACTATTATAATAAGAGGTCTTATCGAATACTAATAGATATACTTAACAGGCATATTATTCTAGTACACAGGTCTATCTATTGGATTATACTTAACAGGCATATTATTCTAGTACACAGGTCTATCTATTGGATTGTCCGGAAAATAATGCAGGATTTTGAATTTTCTTTAAAAATACCGCTCTATATAACAAGCTGTTTATGTTTACTGGATTATTCATTTGAATGAATGTCAACACTTAATTAACCCTCTTCCAAATGATAATGTTTGTTTACCTCTATAGCATTTCACTGCTTAGAAATAATTCAGTCTTTACTAAGATGTCAACCTGTGATTTTCATGTAACTTTGTTTTACTGATTAAAACTCAACTGGAATGGAGTCCCAGACAGTCAGAAACATCAATTAAGTCTGGTGGGGTGGGAGCAAATTGAGTGCATTGTTCAACGGTGGTTCAAAAAATTTTGGGAGAGAGACTTCAGCCTTGACAACAAAGATTGTGGAAGGACTTCCTCTGTTGATGACGATGTTCCGTGGGCTTTGGTGGAAGAAAACCCCAGAACAACTGTTTGAGAACTTGCATATAAAATTAACCTTAGGAAATCGACCGTCAATGACGATCTCAAGATTGGAAAGATAAAAAATCTTGAAAGTTGGGTACCACACACATTAAACGAATTATGAAGCTTGTGCTTCACTTCTTTGCCGAAACGAAAATGATCCTTTTCTGTCAAAAATTGTTACTTGTGATGAAAAGTGGATACTTTACTGTAACAGTAGATGTTCTGTACAGTGGCTCGACAACTCATCAAAAAAAGATGATGGTTACTTTTTGATGGGCTTCATTCAGTTTGATACACTACATCTTCTTTAGTCTGGAAGAAACCATCAATGCCGAATCGTATTGTAACCAAATGAATGCAATTCATCAGAAATTAGCAATAATGAAGCTATCTTTCGGAAGGGAACCATTTTGTTGCATGACAACACCCAGCCACATGTCTCACGTATGACATCACAAAAACTGTTGCAGCTTGGATATGCAACTTTGCCACATCCGCCCTACTCTCCAGAGCCCTCGCCTACAGATTATAATTTTTTTAGACACGTGTACCACTACTTACACGACAGAAAATTTAATGGACAAAGGGAATAAAAAAATGCATTTTTGGAGTTGGAATGGAAAAGTTGCCAACTTGTTTGCAGAAATGTACTGATAGTAATGGAGACTATTTTGATTAAATAAAACAGTTGTAAATCTTTTTTTTTTTTTTAAACCAGAATCCTGCAATATTTTCCAGACAACCCAAAATACTATACCGTTCATTACAAACTAACTTAATATTTCTTCAATTTAAAGTTTGTGTTCTGTGGCACCATTTCAAATCTAGCCTCTGAAGGTTGATTTTTATTTGTTGGTAGACCCATGTAATAACCGTACAGCCATATGGTAGACATTTACAGAAATATTCAATCATCTATGTAAGCAAATGTTTGCCATATGTGAATGTGACTGTAACACAAGTCTCAACCTTAATAGGTTAGGGTGACCTGTAGAATAAACTACCATTAGGGGTTAGGGCTTTGAACTCTATAAATGAAAAACAATCCTGTTTGACTATAATTTAAATACTAGCATTTAAATAAAATTAACAATGTTTCAAATGAATCAATAATAAAAAATGGGACATGCTCCCTTATACTAGGAGAAACTTATCCTCAGTAAGAACCTTCACAGATGATATATCTTAATGGAAATAAGGATAATAATATTAGTATGATTAAATGATAAATTATCCTAAGCGTAATTTAGTTTAATAATTTATATAAGACCTATCTTTTTATTCATTAGTTTTTCTTTTTGTAGGTACGTTTTCACATTGGCTGATATGGATACTGTAGCACCATGCTATGAACATTTTCTCAGTATATTCTTGAAAGCTAGTCGAAGATCTCCAATGTGTGCATGGAGGGTAAAGGAAATGAATATTGATTTCGAACAAAGGTTTAAATATGAACGCTCAAAGCATCTCGTAATGTGGGAAATCCTCACATAGTTTAAATATTTCCAAATATTTAATAGTCATTTTTGTTGAGAAATTAACTTAAATGATTAAAATAAATATATATATAAATTTAGTAAATCCTGATGGAGATGTATTCTTGCCTTAAACTACATGTTTTGTGGTTTCATCGATCGACCTCTATTGTCAATAAAAAATATTTTATAAAATGACTATTCATCTTTTTTTTTTATTTTCTGAATTGAACTTATACTTCCACTTAGGTCATGTAGTTGGCCAAAATACAGTATCAATTGGTTTCCTAAGACTTCTATATCTGTAAGACCTGTAACATTATCAGCGATCATTAGTCAAGTGTATTTAATATTTAATAAATGTTTACTAGTTTACCTTTTTTGCTGATCACGTTCGTCAGCTAACGGCTGGATTTGTTTGATGGTTGGTTTGTTGTTGTGATAACACAAAACTAATACCTCATGTGAGAACCTAAAAAAAAATATAGAATCTGTTTTTTAATTTTTACTTAGTAGATAAAAAATATTTCCTTGAACATCAGCCCATAACAGAGGGTTGGGTTAAGAACATAACCAATATAACAAAAATAGGTATTTGCATGATCTGTAATGTTTTTTTTCCCTTAAGTCGAAAGGAAACTATAGATTTATTTTTTCTTATAAACAGTTTTTGAAATTATATTACTAAAAATGAAAATAATATATGTAAAAAAAAAATAAACTATAAATTCATTCTTTTCTAAGAAGTGCTGGTTAAAGATTATAATAAAAAAAAAACCATAATCTCCGGTCACAGAACAATTACATACTTACTACCTCATAGAAAGGCTGTGAGATAGTTTGAAAGTAGATTTCATCACTGAGCATACTCTCATTTTATCAGAAAGAGACTACCGACCCATATATGAGTCCACTGTTACAGGTTTGACAAGTGAGAATGCTGCAAGTTCTTGTAGAAGATCGAATATGGTAAATCTAATTGTTTCAAGTACTGAGTGGATTAGTAATTTTTTTGTTTTTTAATTTGTTATTATTCTAAGATCAACTCTATTTTTTTCTTATCTTGTGACCTAATTTACATATTGGAAATAAAATTTTAAAAAAGTTTTACTTCCCTAAAGAGTAATTGTGCAACAATAGCTCACCTGCAAGGAACTACTTCACGCTGAAAAATTGTTCAGAAGTTGGCAATAAGGAAGACAAAAATAAAAATAATGTGTTATTTGTAAAACAGTCGATAGACAATGATTGTGCTTATAGCCATCAATAAGCAGTAAAAAACAAATTTATTACTTTTAAATTTATTGAATCATCAATCAACTTACGGATTAGAACACCATTAAATTTATCTAAAACCAATCAAAATGTTAAAAGAACAATTTAAAATATGGTGGCTAATTGAAAAGACAGCTATCTGGAAAGTAGGGGAGGAACCTTTTCTCCCTTTTCGATATAATGTCCTCATATAATTGTCTTTCTTAACTTAAGACTTGTAATTACTTTATTCCTTTCTTCTTCAACACTAAAAATGGGCGGTCAGCAATTTATGCAAACTTCTGGCAGCTTACAATGAAATAATTTTATGAGAAATGAGAACATGTTATGGTTAATAGACTCAGTTTTGCTCTTTTATGAACAAAAATAATTATTTTTTATAAACATATTGATGAAAGATGAAATAATTGAATATAATAACATTAATTTCATTGAGCAGTTTTCACTTGAATGATTAAATTATAACAAACATTTACCTCAGTTTTTTGCTGTTTCTTCTTGGGATTGATAAACCACTTCTCAAAGCAACAGTTTCATGAAGACTAGGTTCACTTCTTGTACAAAGTTGTGTCAGAGATTCTGAAAGAAAAATTATCTTTTAAGTATTGTATGTATGAAATGGAATAACAACTAAGTTATAATCTAAGCCAAGAGTTCAAACTACAGTCTGACATAAGTTATTTTAATTACATAGTAAAAATATATAAATATCTAATCTATTTTATACAATATAAAAAAAATATATATTTTTTATATAAATGATATTTTTAAAAGAACTGAGATGTGTTTAGTTAACTATTATGTAGTTGTGAAGTGATATGAAAATTGACTTTTTCTTAACTTACTGTAAAGATATCTTTCTTTGATATGATATGATACTCATTTATTTAAAAAAAAAACTTTTAAATAGTATAATAAAAAATTATGAATAAATATATTGTGATATGTATTACTAATTTTCTACACTTTTCATGAATATAATAGCATTGAAAACCTTTAATATGAACCCCAGATAAAATAAAACACATACAATGTTTCATCCAAACTGCTAAAAAATTCTTTTCTAAGTTCCTGCTGTGAGCATCAACAGAAACATTTCATGAAGACTAAACAGCTGATGTATAATGAGTACTTTATGCTTTTCTCATTGGTTCAGTATGTCGAACGTCACGAATATTATTTCTGCTTAAATTCTTAGATTAGATTAAGAGATCCCTGGACAAATTGATCAATGGATACTTCATATGAAGAACTCAATGAAAATTTTATTTTGCCATTAGAATAAAGCAGTTAAGACTATGCAACTCTCAAGGTGTCTGAAGATAATAGAATGTTCTGCTGGAGGAGTAAACTCGATTAATACAAAAATGGGTCAGCACTGTTTTGAAAAAAAAAACTTTTGAATTTGTTTATTGATAATGTGTGGAAAAAGAAGAGAGAGAAATTTACAGAGACATTGAATGCGAAATTTCTAGCTTATTCCTTAACTAGTCAATAACAAGAAAGTAAACTGGGAAAAAAAAGCTGATTGAAAAGTTGGGATTTATGGCTTAACCAATTACTCACTCTGGCTACAAATATATAGTTTTGGTTAAATAAACACCAACTTTAAAAATCATAAAATTATAACCATCTCAAAACAAGCTTCTTAGCTGAATTTTCCCCTCTGTCATTTTTTAACCTTCTTGAAAATTAATTGTAAGTGAAATAAGACAGAAATAGTAACCATATGCTTATCATTTCTTATCCGCACCTGAGTTGATCTTCAAGCTGTTTTCACTGGCACAGCGTTTGAGCCTGAGATATCTGTTCCTGTTTAGATCATCTGAGCTGTAGAGAAATTCGTTCACTTTGGATTCTTTGTTTTCCGTGATCTCTAAGGGATGATTTTTTAAATATCTAGAGACAGGAAACTTATTCAATAATTTTATGCCAAATATACCTAGTCTTTTGAATCCTTCTATAACTGATTCTTTCTTATAATGATTTCGTTTCTTATGATGTTTTCTAGGCATTTTTCAACTGCCGAATGAGTGTTGTTTTTAGAATTTAAACCAGTATAAAACCTTGAATTAGCATGTCTTTAAAACTGTAAAATACATTTAAGCCATATGATTAATTAACTCCATAATCTATTACAATTTTAATTTATACAAATATTTACTGACTAAATCTATGAATTTGACTTTATTTCAGCTCATCTACTATCATTTGAATCTAGCTTGAATTAAATTTTTAATTTACAGATGATATATTGTCTGAGGGAAGTTTATACATCTGTTTAAAAAAAAAAAATCCTAAATTTCTCTTCTATCAGAAATGTAAATCCTCCTAAAATCATTTAGTACTAAATGACTAAGTTTTTCCTTTGATATTAATTTTTCTTATTCTCATTTGAGTCAAATAATAATTATTACAATTTAAATATTTATTTTGTATCTTATTACTGTTTATTATTTATTCATTTTTTAATTTATTTATACTCAACATTAAATTTCCGATTGAGAATACTTAATTTAAATTATTTGTTCTTTATTATTATTTTTATAGTCATTATGTTTCAACAAAGAGTGGGTCCCATATCAACTCATCGTTCTTTAATTTAATCTACCCTCCCTTAAGGATTCTGTCATTGTTTAATGGAAAACTTTTTACTGGATTCTTTAGAAATGTATCAATTTCTAATTTGAAATATTTTTACATGTCAAAAACTATATATTTTGTTGTTTGTACGCCTTAATTTTTATATATATATAGTTTTCTTCATGTTGGCTTTACAAATCTTGTAGACCTTTTGCTTTTCAGTTATCTGCATGCAACTCTGTAGATTCAATCTATCCATCTGGTTTTTGTCCTTCCACGTGGTCTCTTGCCTACTAATGAGGCATTCATTGTTGTGTAGATAATTCTTGATGAACTGCACCAAGATTTACTACATGCCCCCTCCATCTTAACTGCCTTGCCTTCATATCATGAGATATTGATTGACCAGAAAATATATATTTTTTCTTTCCTCACCTTTAGACTACAGGTTTTTCTTCTCAGGCAGGGAATTAATGCCAGAGTTAAAATCACCTCCAGTACCGAGCTACGAACTCGTAATTGTTTTATCATATCTATAACCTGGTGGTGAAGAACCTGTACCATTTCAACCGATTAAGGGTCTTGGATTCAGCACTATGTGAGGAAGTACAGTTACATGGCCAAAGGTTGTGCAAGCAGGTGATTGGTCCGAGATCTGCTTGGTTTTTCCCTTAATTAATTATATGATTAAGAATACCCACTTTATAGAGGCTGGGTGTTCTGCAGGAAGGTCTCCCGGCCCCAAAGTTGATCCGTGGCTGATGAAAAACTAGGAGATAAAGAACACCATGTCACATTTTTTTAGGTAACAATTTCCCATAACTTTGAGTCATTAAAATTTGTTTCTTAGTTACTAAATTATTTAATAAAAAAAAAAGATATAGTGTCTGTCCTTTAACTCCATAGCACAGAAATTAACTTGTTAATCAGGTTGCTGGGCAATGTATGTTTTGCTTACTTGTTAGCTCACTCATCCCCCAATTGACCAAAATCTTTATTGGTCCTTCTCCTTCATGTGTTAGTACTCTGATCTTAAATCGCTCCAGTTACTGTGATAACGAATTTCCTCTCAAATTTTATAATACTTCTTTGCTGGGCACTGATAATAAATTAAAGGAGTGTGTTTCTTCTTAGTATGCAGAGACATTGAGAGATCAGTGAAGCAGTTTATAAACAGAAATTATAGTGTTTATAAAAGAAATGCCACCATAATTTATGTTTATTAACAGAATATAAAATTTCTCTGAAATTTTAAACCATATTCCACAATCATTTTAACACTTCCAATTACACTATTTTTATTATTTGTCTCTCCAACGCAATTCACTTATGATAGCAAAAGACCAATTTAATTTAAATTAGATAATGCTATCTATACCAGCTTAGTTTGGTATGAATAACTTTCAAATAAATCATCAATAATAAAAATAAATTAATCAATCATCTCCACTAGATTTGGACACAACTTTTGATTTGCCAAGACTCAAGAGGGCAAATTAAACAAACAGTTAAGTCGAAGTTTGAATTTTTTTTATTATGCAGGTCAGAATTTGGGAGACAGAAGTCATGCTGGTCGATCATGTTAAGAGCATTGCACATTTTAGTATTCTTGTGTCTAGCGATGTTATTTTGAATCTGGCCTTGCCGAGTTAACTTTTATTTCGTGGTGAGCCCACGGAAAGAATCTCGACCTTCCCAATCTGGTTAGAATTTGGTTTGGTTGTATCTCTAGAATAACCCTTTTCATACCACTTAGACAAAGACAAGAAGCTTCAGAAAATTTGACATTTTTGTATTAATGATTAGGAATTAATAATAATACTTTTATCAACTAACAATAACAGATCTTTTATTCTGTTTGAGCAGCAAAGCTTTTTTGCTGAGGTTTATTTTCCTATTTTCATTTGATTAATGCTCTGCTGATTAAATTGAATAGAATTTTAAAATCAATTAAACATCTGAATTTCATTTTCATGTTTTCTATTTGAACATTTTGTAATTTTCTTCCTAATATAATTTATAAAATGACAGGGATGGGACAAGAAAGTTGAGACACTTGACTTCTGTAATATTAGCTCAATCCACCTACAAATTTTCAACACTCTTAACTGAACTAGTAGGTGTAGATGTAAAATCTTGAAAAATCCACAGAAGAAAAGCCTGCAAAAGGCACTTTAACACTAACTGAAGTAACACAAAAATGTTCAACCGTTTATCTCAATTGAAAGGAGCTGTAGTGGAGTTTTAAATCTTAAAAACAGTGGGGTAGAAAAAAAAGTTTCCAAAAGGCACTTCTCCAGCACTAACTTGATATACGAACGAAATTTCAACCTTATAACCTTATTTAGAGCGGTTGTACAAAGGCACAAAACTTTAAAAAACCGTTGGGGATATGGCAAAATTTATTCAAACTTGTATTGCATTGTTCATACTAAATGTCAGGTATCCTACCCTCTTTCAAAATTTTTGATCTGTATCAATTAGTCTATTAATTTTGGAAAAAAAATTGGTCCCTTTAAATAGCTAATCTGTTCATAATAATTAGACTATTTTTTTTACAAATATTGATAATTTATTAATTTACAATAGTTATGGTTACTTCTTTTAAAGTAAAACTATGCACAAATTTCCACCATAATTATTTTAAGTCTTTCAGAAGTATTGTTTGACCAAGAGTACATTTTCTGTCAAGCAACAAGGGAGCATATTAGATTTTATTATTATGATCAGTGCTTTTTGTGAAAATTACAAATTAATTAATAATCTGGCAAATAATCAATTAATAATAAATCAGCTGTTTAGGAATAATCCTCTGTTTCATTGTCGTATAGTGTTGGACAACAAAGGCCCAGGACCCACTTAAGGGCTGTTTAGATCGGGGGTCTCCAACTTTTTGGCCCGTGGGCCATATTGAATCCTCCATTAAGTCCAACAGGCCACATTGTGACCTCCATCTAAGTCCAGCGGGCCACAGTTTTCGGACTGAAGCCCCCCCTCCAAAATGGTAAAATATATCCATGTCTTATTTTATATATATATTTATAACGATAATTACTTAGAAAGAAAAAGAAACTATGAGGAGGAGGGAGGCTTTCGGGCTGATGCTCCCTCTCCACCCCCAAAAAATGGTAAAATATATCCGTCTTATGAAAAAATGATCTCTAAAAGTATTACTACTCGTGTATTTGCATTTAATATGACTTCAAGAATCACTAATACACCATTTCATATAGTTTCTTTCTTTTTCTTCCAAAATAATTATCGTTTTATACATATATATATAAAATTTCTGGATGAAGCCCCTCCCTTCCCCCTAAATTAAATTTAACCAGGCAATTAAAAAAAATTGACAGTGAAAGAAGTGAAATTTTCTAAATTCTAGACTTGGTAGATTTTTTTCAGTCATATTATAATCAATTTTTCAGATTAAATACAGTTAGTTATTTATACTTCTAAGAAAAATTATGCCTTACCCTTTAAAACTCTTTTTTTAAGCTAGTTCTAATATTTTCTATAAACTTAAAAAAATTCAAAAATAAATAAATACAGATTGCACATATGGGAAAAGGCAGGGAACAGCATAGCATGTGGTGCATGTGCATCAAAAGTAAGGTCAAGTAGCGTCGCTTAAATTGCCCTTTACTCCTTCATGCTAGTTCATGTCATGCATTAGGACAAAAACAGTTTGATATCTGTAATAACTTGTAAAACATTTTATACATCTAGTGAAAGCGAGGCAACAACAACACACATTCAACTTTTAAGTCATAATTTATTAAAAGATACAATGATCACAAAGGAAGGAATAAATAAATCTAATATAAATAGTTTATTCCACTTCGAACCCCTACAACAAAAGTGATCCATACAATGCTAAAAAACAAATAATAAACTGTGTTTATACAAGACATAATGTAGATAATAACATAAAAAGACAGAAAAGAAAAAATAACTAATAAAGCAAAAAAAAGTTGGTAACATACATAAATATAAGTTTTTTTTTTCTTTTCTTTTTACAGCTTCTAATAGAAAGCATGAAGTGACTAAGCCTATTAAAAGACAGCAAATATTAAAAAATAATATACAATCTTAGAAAATTATAAAGAAAACAGAACCTATTATTAACAAACAACATATTGACAATAACTTAAAATCAATTACCTCAAAGATTACTACATCCATTCAAATGCCACATTACAAATATGAGATAATTACAAAGGCACTATATCAACATTTTAAATGTTATTAGAGAAATTAGATTATTTACACAGGATCAATCGTCAACACAAGATAAAAAACGAGCAGCCGATATTTATTAAATTATAAGGCAGTGGGCTATAGCCAATACATATTTTAAAAATAAGTCAAAATGTAGAGATCAAATAAGAAGTTAAAACTAGCACTTAAGAATCTTTGTAATGAAAAAAAAAAAAAAAAAAGGAATATCTATCTGATCACAAATATATTAACATTTGTTTGTTAATACATATTTAAAAAAAAAAAAAAACCTCATTACTCATAAGTATTTAAACAAATTATCATGGCTTCAATAGATTAGAAAAAACTGAGGAGGAGTTAGTTTATATTAACATTACCATTGAGTAATGCTTTTAATTTTTAATAATTCAAGGATAAATATTTCAAAAACACCTAAAAGCATTATTTAGACTGTAAAAGTTGTCAGGTGACATTACATAAAAAATAATATAAAATTGATTGTAAGCAAATTGTGTAAAATTATTCAAAAGTTGGGCTAAAACAACGATTTGTACTTTTGAGGTTTTTAAAAATGAATAAAATAAAACAGTGATACGAGTATTAAATTCAGTTTATAAAAGTCGCAAATCACATTATCAACAAGTTATACATTTGTATATCACCAATAGGAAATTAATTATCATTACTATTATAGTAACTATTGAACAATTATATATCTTTAAGATATCTTTTAAATTAAAACTTCCATCTTCACTCTTTAGACGAAGTATTTCATAAACAGTCTAATCAAGATAATTTGTCCCTATTCATCACAGTGAATAACATTAAGCCGCCCGTTTGGGAATGACAGTTTATAAAAAACTAACTTTTATTAATTTAAAGCATCCTTTACAACAGGTAGCCACCAATTAACATTATCAACAATAAAAACTTCATTAAGGAAAACAATAATTTAAATGAGCTTTGGCAATCAATTCGATAAAAAAAAGAATTACAATAATTAACTCTCTGTAGTCTTAGATGACTCACAAAGGCAAGTCATGAGAGTATTATCGAATAAACAATTAAAATTTTTTTTAAAATATAATTATTTTTGAGAAACTTTAACAGAAAAACATTGGATAAATCATAGGAAAATAACGACTAGTAGACCGCTGTCGAGCAATCTCTCAACAAATTTTAAAGAAAACAGATTCTTCTAATGATTTAATAGGACTCTATGGAGCGGACTTCTTGTTTGATGTCTCTTTGCCTGCATCTTTACTTCTCAGTTCAGGTTTTCCACTGGACAGGCGACGCCCTCTTCTTCGTTTTCCTCGTTCTTCTGTGGGTTTGCGACGACTCTGGCCAGAATTGTCTTGTTGCTGTCCAGTTGGAGAGGAGCTGGAATCGATTTTAGGAGCCTGTTCTAGAGGATTCCAATGTTCACGCTGAGTTGCCCAGCTTTGCTGAAGAATCCTATGAAAAATATAAATGAATAAATATAAATGATAATTCTTAAGACACAGTATAAATCTTGGATATCAAAAAGATTTCTCACATACAGAGCAAATTAAAATTAATTAATTTTAAAATCAAAGAGTGGAAAAATGAAACACTCTATCATTTAATAACATTAAAGTTGAATAAATATATATCCCTTCAGAAAAACCAAGCAATATAAAATACCAATATGCTTGCAATAATAAGCTAAGAACTTATTCCATTTATTCTTGATCCCATGAATAAAATCATTATAAGCAACATTAAGAACTTCTTTAAATCACTAAATAACAAATAAATCGTACACAACTATCAAACATACTTATTAATCTCTTCATCAGTTTGTATGATTTCTTGTAATTTCTGCAGTGTAGTAAAAACAGTGACCGGAGACACCAATCCAAAATCAAACAGGGTAGACATATGAAGAACGAAATTGCGGTAAAGATTCTTCTTCAATAATTCTTTTCCCTTTTCTTGCAGAAACATTGCACAGGCGAGTGGGATTTGGCAATCACCAACAAAACTAGAAGATAAACTATTTTTAATTTCAAATTAGATATCAAAAGTTAAACCATACTGTCGAATAGGGGGGAGGAGGGAGAGGGTATTAATAAGTTGGAAATTAATTTAATGTATTAAAAGTAATTTGATAATGTTGAAAACCTACCCGTGTTTCATAACATGAAGATTCCACATCTTCATCAATTCCTTTTCACCTTCATTTACATCAGTAAATTCATCAATCATCATCATAGTTTTTTTCTGGAGCCAGCGAGGATCTGTTTCATCCTCAGAATCTATTTCCATTTCTTTTGGATAAATAGGAAGGCAAGTTGTTGTATGATGATACAACCTAAACAAAATAAAATTCCTTAATTTACAAAAAAAAAAGGAACAGAATAATAATCAAATTATGCTTGATGCAAAGACATTCAAATCCACCCCCACTGATACCAGAGTCAGTGATTGAATTTGGTAATTATTTTTCTTGAAGAAAAATCAAATCATGACTAAGTTCTTTGAAAATCATTTTTTTTCCTAACACTAATTTATCTAAAAACATATTTAAACCTTTTATAATTATTATTGTATGATAAACTTCAAATAATATATAACTTATTTTTTTTTTTTTTTACTCAAATCTAAACCCTAAACATTATACATTGAGTTATACAATTATGAACAAACAAGTGAGTCGAGTTGAATGGTTTCATTGATTCAACATAAAAAAAAAATGTTCTTTAACTACTTCTTAATTTATACATAGGGCTACAAAGAATCTGCCTCCAAAACCCTAAAAGTAAGTAATTGTATTTTGTTTACTTATATTAAATACTTAACATTACTTATTTATAATTAATACTCAGTTATTGTTTCAAAATATATAAAGCAAGTTGTTTACTTCTATTTAAACAAATGTTTATCTTCTACTTCATCCAATCTTATTTTATAGTTTTCTTTCTAACTAAAATAAATTTTATAGTTGAAATGTTGATTAATCAACTTATTTTAGAAATTATGTATATATAATAAATAAAAAAGGAAAATAAAAACTATCGATGACCATTTTTTGCATATTTTTTTTGTGCTGAAAAAATTTAATCACTTTCAGTTTGCTTACCTAAAATGTTAAACAAGGTAAAGCGCTAGGAATTATATTTTGAGCAATAAAAAAAAACCTTCAAAGATAAAGAGTTATTTACGACCTAAAAAACCTGTCAAAAAAGAGATAAATATTTTATGGCTGAAATCAAATAATCAGTTATTGACTTTTAATTCAAGCAAATAAGAGTCATAAAAAATATTAGTTGTTTGCCAGAATGCTTAAGTATTTCTAATTAATTTTAACTTTCATTTAATATTCATAGTCATTTTTTATTCTTTTCTTAACAAAAATCATTGCTATATTTTGATACGGCCAAAAAATGTATTCTCGAATTCAGTTTCTGACCACCATCTCTGAAATTATAAAGATTAAAAAAATGTCTAATAAATGATATATTAAAAGAATTTTGAGTTGTATTTAACACTTATCAAAATTCAATCATAGCATATAAAAAAAAATGTCTGTCACGTAAGATCAGTATAGCTTCCCCACCATTTTCATTTGCTAAAAAATATCTATATTAAAAGATCTGAAAATTTTCTTATGAGAATAAAATCTCTGGAAAAGCAGTTTTCAGAAATACAATAATCCCTTAACATATACGGGGCTTGATATCCACGAGTTTTGTTTATCAGCAAATACTAAAATGCGAAAAAATTCCGCATTGCAGATTGCATTTGATAATTTGTAATTAAAAAAAAAAATCCAGTGCAAAAGGAACATGTATCTCGCTGCAGTTTGTGCAATTGATGTATATAAAAATTGAGTATTTTACAGGAGAATTATTTCTATATGATTTATTAGTATAATTTTATATTTCATTGTCTTCTGCTATTTTTCTTAGTAGTAGACTACTTATATCAATTGCAGACTACATAATGTCAACAATAGAATAAAAATTAAAAACTTTATATATGACCTGTGCATTAAAAGTAGTGATATTTGCTTAATAGGTATGTTTTCACTCGTAAAATGGATGTAACAAAAAATCCATAGGAAAAATTCAACTTTTTGTTTGTTCGGAGTTAACGATACCAAGACGAACTGGTTGAACTTCAATGGAAATAAACACGATCAGAAAAAAGACATTTTTTTTTTACAAACTCAGAATATAAATTACATGAAATTTAAGTAATGGCAGTAAGTGACATGCCAGTAACGTTTGGAATCGACCAATACAGTATCAATTAATTTTTTTAATAAAACCTAAAATTTTATAATCCCATTACAATATTGAAATAACCTAACTCCCACTCTATATGATCAGTGCCTACCACACTTCACAGCCATTATATTGTTAACAATTATTTAAATTAATTTTAATTATTAAATGGAATTCAATGAAATTGATACTAAGTAATTTCTATATTGTTCTTCAAATTTCCTCCAAGTTTGGGTCAAATCAAATGCGCCGTTTTCGAACTATAGGCATATCAAATAACACATTTCCTGATCTGAAAGCGGAAGTTTTTTTTTTGGAGTATTAGAAAGAATTAGATAAAATTGATGCCTATTTTATTTCATCGGTACTAGGTGCTATGCCCGTTACATCGATTTGACTACAGACAGATAGACACAAAACCGAATTGGATCCTTGATGTCTGAAACATTAAACACGAGTGGAAATTTTCGTTTCTGAGCACAAATTTTTTTTTAACCTCTCGCACGAATACAATGCTTCCCTACCTTCGGTAGTGAGGAAGCAAAATACTTCAGATAATAAACTTTGTATATATATACTGTCCCTTAATATAGCCATGATTATAAAAAAAATCCTATAGACACATTTAAAGCTAATTTAGATTAGATAGTTTTTAATTGAAGTCAAAACACTGTTACAAAATGAAGTCAAGAAATTTGTGACAGCAAATGAACGACCAGAATTTTGAATTTTAATGTTTAATCTTATTGACTCAAACATTTTTATCTATTTCTGAATGATATTTAGATGGAGTGAATTTCGTATTTGAAAGAGAGTACACTATATACAAAGTAATTATTTTATTATTTATGCCCAAAAAGAGAAAGCAAGCTGTTGAGAGATGAATGGATTCATTACTAATTTTTTTTTTTTATTGAGAAAAAATACATTTTGCCTCAATCAAGGGCATTAACTATTCGAGATATAAGAAACTCATTCGTACAATATATAAAATTACAGAAATAATAGGAATTATAACAAAAATAAGAAAAAGAAACCTTAGTAAAACTAATTACTAATTAAATTTCTTGAACTGGACTGTATCCTAAAACTCCCCCCCCCCCACATCTCTCTCTCTCTCCAGCCCTTGAGTATCTCTTAATAACTAAAAGAACAAATAATACTATTTTTGGACTCCAGTACTTTTTCAAAATTGCCAATCTTCTAAACTGATACCCCCCAACCATATATTAGATAGAGGAAGAAGGTAAAAAATGACAAGAATGAGAAGATAGCTATAACATAACTACTAAATTATTTTATGAGAAGGAGTTAGTCGGGGGTGCGGTCAAATAAATACTAATACATTACATTATTAGAGATTACATTAGATAATCTCTATTAGTTTGTTATACAATTATTCCTTATCTTTTATCGCAAACTATTTACTTTTAACTTACATGCTATATTCTCCTTTATTTTTATTTTATTTTAATTTTAATTTCATACTTATTTTCCATTTATTTGTATCTTCTACATATATAATACTTAATATTTAACTACATTGTCACCCACTATATCCCTGATACCATCTTTTATTTCTGTATCTGACAACTTCTTCTTATTTTATATCTATTTATATATTTTTTTTTATTTTCAACATGTTTTGTATCTTTTGTAGCCCTGAAGACGACCTGCAAAGTAGGTCGAAACGTCGGCAAAAATTAAAATAATTACTATATTTTAATTTAGCATTTATTTGACCGCACCCCCGACTAACTCCTTCTCATATTACATCAACGGTCAACCATCTCTACATCACTAAATTATTTTCTTTAAATTTGAATAGATGTCAATAAATATGGGAATAAACAGAAAAGAGTTAATGAAAATTAATTTTACCTATTGTGCCCCGTGATATATGGTCGCTGGCTTTCGGCCTCCTGAGTATCCATGAACTCTGAAAGGTGAGGTGGTGACCTCTTAGGGCGACATACAATTATGTGAGAGACAGTCGGTCTCTTGGCCGGGCCAGTACCCCTGATAGGACCTCCACTCTGCCTCCAAGAGCTCCCATCGTAGCCATCATTAACTGAGATATCAATACGTATCCCACCCTAAAAAATACACTATAGTTAGTAATAATGTGTACAATACAATAGTTCTTATGTTCCAAAAATATAAAATCTCTACATATTGAATTTTATTTCAAGGACTTCGAATTTTTATTTATTGAAAAAAAAAACATTCTACACAATAAGACAAAATATTTACTTCATACAGTAGAAAACAAATTTGATCAAATTTAAATATGGAAAACTACACTAACTATGCATTCAGATTAACACACTATAGAATCTCAAAATCCTAATTGTAAAGCTTTGTAACCTAACAACAAAGACATATTTATTAATTTAGATTTGTAGTTGTTTTTCCATTGTTATATCTTTGATTAGAGATTGAATCTTATAAGTAATAAGATTATATATATATATATATATATATATATATATATATCATACAACTTCTTGAAAATGTCCACATAATATGTGACAAAAAAGCAAATGATACAGAAATATAAAAATTTAAAATCATCAGATAATGATCATATTACACCCGATAAAACAAATTGCATTTGTCATAGAATTAAGACAACCGATAAATTAAATATGCTAGGAAATTATAAATTAAAGTTCTTATTTTACTATTGAAGATAATGCCTCATCAAAACACATTGAACATTCGCAATATCTTCCCAATCCTTTCCCACATTATGAATCAAGCAGATTCTAGAGTAATTTACTAGTATTTTATTGGAATATGTTTTTATAAATTTATATGTGTACATTTTTTAGGCAAGAGATATTAAATTAAATAATTTATACAAAAAAAAATTACATATCTTTGCAGATTAATTTTTAGTTTCTTTAACTTCTCAACATTAGTCAATTCAAAATAATAATAATTAAAAAAAATAGTTCTTAATGATTTAAAGACTGAATATGAGGGACAAGACATAAATGAAAAGTTTAACTTATCTTCTTTTTTATTTAACTATTTCATTCATTATTTATCTTATTAAACTATCTTTCATTCATGTTAACAGAAAAATAACTAGTAATGATCTCAATTATAAGTACGCCTTCAATTAAATTTAAAGATACTTACTACATAAGTAACATTAAATCTAGGATGGCAAAGTTTCAGATGCTTTAACAGTGAATACAAAGTTTTACAATCGATGGAGCACCATGCACACTGTAAGTCGGGAGCAGTCTCAGTTTGTTGTTTAGTATTTCCATTGTAAAGAAAATGGTACACGACTGATGGGCCATCCAACTGCTTGGCTACTTCCATGCCTGAAATACAGATTATAATGAAATATTGGAAATGTAATTCATACTAGAACTAAAAAGACTAATTCAAAACAATTAACAATACTTTTTTATGATAAAAACAAAAAAAATCATACCAGTTTTATTATTATTTTCTTTCACTAACTCTGAATTACATATCGGAATGATAGGAGGTGGTCGGTCAATAATAGGAGTCACTTGTTCACGAGACCACTGCAGCCTAATTTTTAATGTTGGGCCATTCGTCATATCCTGGAAAGATTCAATGTGTTGTTCCTGAATCTAAAACAATGTCAATTTGAACAAATTATGAAAGTTACTTAGGAATAAACAAGACATTGACAATGACTTCTAAATATATATAAATATGTTTAGTTATAAAAGAATTATTATAAAAGAGAAAAAAACAGTTTGAAGACAATAAAATTAAAATCATAAAGAACTAAGAAAATATTCTTCGGATGCAAATAGTAAAAAACATAATAAAAAATAAAGTTGTCTGATATTGGGTTGTCTGGAAAATAATACAGGATTTTGAAGTTTCTTTAAAATACTCCTCTATATAACAAACTGTTTTTGTTAACTGGATTATTCACTTGTATGAATGTCAACAATTATTAGCTCTCTTCCAAACGATAATGTTTGTTAACCTTTGCAGCATTTCGCTGCTTAGAAGTAGTTCAGTCTTTACTAAGATATCAATGCGTGATTTCCCTAATGGTTTGATTACAATATTTTTACGAAATTAAACTTGATAAGAATGGGGCCCAGACGGCAAGAAAATCAATCAAGTATGGGGCGAAAGCAGCGTTAAGAGTGGACTGCTGAATATTGGTTAGAAAAATTTCAGGAGAAGACTTCAGCCTTGAAAACAAAGAAGGTCACGGAAGGATTTTCTTGATAACGATGTTCTGCGGGCTTTGGTGGAAGAAAACCTCAGAACAACTGTTTGAGAACTTGCAGGGAAACTTGACCATAGCAAATCGACTATCGATGACCACTTCAAGGCGATTGGAAAGGTAAAAAAGTTGAGTTCCACACATATTAAACGACCGCCAAAAAAACCCAGCATTATGAAGTTTATACTACACTTCTTTGCCGAAACAAAAACGATCCTTTACGATAACAGTAGATGTCTGGACAATGGCTCGAAAAAGGAGAAGCAGCAGGACATTTTCCAAAGCCCCCAACTCATCAAAAAAAATGTGATGGTTACTGTTTGGTGGGCTTCATTTGGCTTGATACACTACAGCTTCTTAAATCCTGGAGAAACCATCAATGTAACCAAATGAATACAATGTATCAGAAATTGGTAATAATGAAGCCATATTTGGTTAATCAGAAGGGGCCTATTTTCTTGCATCCCAACATCCGGCCACATATCTCACATGTAACGTCAACAAATGGTGGAACTATACCACATCCGTCCTGCTCTCCGGTCCTCTTGTCTACGGATTATCATTTTTTAGATCCCTGGATCACTAATTACGTGAACAAAAATTTCATGGACAAAGAAAATTAGAAAATGTGTTTTTCTCTATATAAATAGTTTATAAATTCTAAAAATGCGAAATTCTTTTCTGAGGGACTGGAAAAGTTGCCAACACGTTGGCAGAAATGTATTGATAGCAGGGGAGACTATTTTGACTAAATAAAACAGTTTTAAATCTTTATTTTTTCCTTTAAACCAAAATCTTGCATCATTTTCCGGACAACCCAATATTAATAAAATAAATTATCATTTATAAATTGTGGGTTTATGGTTGTGACTGTAGTGAATAATTGAAGAGAAGGATGGTTGAGGTGATCAGTTAAATTAAAATGGCAAAAATAAGTAATTTTATTTATTTTTGCCATTTTAATTTGACTGATCACCTCAACTATCCTTCTCTTCAACCATGATTTATAAAGTTTTACCACCAGGTCTACTTTGTCAACAGTTCGAACATTTTCAGGCAAATCAATTTTATTTTCATTATAAAAAGGATAATTTAAGTTTGAAATTGATAACATAATTTTTATATTTTTTACTTTTAATAAACCTTCTTATAAATATATCATTCTATATAAACATTAGGTCAGAGCTGGAACTATGGAAGAACAAAGAAAACACCTACCATAACAGACGGCAGAACTTATGGAATGGAGAATTAAGAAAACATATTTTTTTTTTTTTGGCACTTATATTGATTGACCTTCAGTCAGGAAAATGAATTCATATTATTTATTCATTTTGAAATTGGCGAGAGAGAGAGAGAGAGAGAGAGAGAGAGAGAGGATGAAGAAAAATGTGATACAAAACTATGTTTGTCATAAAATCCTACAGTCCTGTACTAGGCAGTAATCAAAGCAAGATGTTAACGTATAGGTTTGAGAAAAAAATCAAAACCAAAGAAGTGAATTTTAAGAGAGCAATTAGAAAGTATTATATATAAAGCAAGACATTCCCTATTTATAAAAAAAAAAAAAACTCTTAATGGTGTTTACCTCTCTTTCAAAAGAAATATCCTCCCATGTCGATAGGGAATTGTTAATCTTTGTAGCAGTCCCATCCAATTTCTCCAACAAAAATTCATATTCTCCATCAGTGAGGAGGCAACGGTTTTGTTTATCGTATATTATTACTTCAGTGCCAAATTGAACCGGCTTATCATCTTCACTTGATTTACTAATTTTCCTTTTCTTTGTAGCAGGTTCTTCTGGAATTTTTTTAGAAAAATTAGGACATTACATAATTATATAATTATCACCACAACAATAATGGAAAAATGATCTGCTGGACAACAAGAAATGGAAGTGTTTTTTCTCTCTTTGTTAATTACTTTACCCTTATTTGGTAATCAAGGCAAATTAATTGACTATTCTTCATTTGGTTAATTTAATTTAAATGGTTTTAAGTATTAAAATATAGATAATCTTTAATTAATAACTAAAAAGGAACGCATTATTATGTTTTAATTCGACATTTTAATTTTTAAATAATTATGATACCATTAATAAATTATAATTTTAAGATATATAACGTGCGTATGCTTGGATGAATATGGTAGTATGGTATGTAGTCCCAAGGATTTTGTAAATAGTTTCATTTTTGGTTTTGAATATATTGCTAGTTTACTTAAGTTTTAATATATATTTATTTATTTAATTTAACAGTTCTAGCCAAAAGTCATTCTTTTTTTTTTTTTCTTTAATACTGTTATTCTTAAGGGATTTCATTCCAGAATAAAGTTATTTTTTACTTCCACTTACCTATATATGGAATATACAGTAAGGTTAAATATTCAGATGTACTTTCAAATCTCTAGGCATATATGAGCTTTTCGGTTGACCAAAAGACTGAGCCCAATTTCAACATTCTTTATTATTAATTTTAGTGATGATTCTAGTGGCAAAATTTATACCTTTATTTACAGTTCTATGTTTCAACACTGCAATAACCTACTATGGAATCAACTCACTCACTGCCTGTATAGATACAACTTTTCCAACTATAAAAATCACTAAAATGGCATTACTAAAAAATGTTGATATTGAATTAAATCATTCTGTTAACTAAAAGGCTCAGAGACTGGAGTTGTGTGATTTATAAAAGCAGAAGGAGCAACTAGATTTTGAATGCCTACCATCGATATACTAAATAGACTTTTTGTAATTTTATGGTCTTAATGATTTGTTATCTGTAAGCTTTAAGCTTTAGCTCCGCTTAAAATGCAATTCAAAAATTTTATAATAGCCCAACAATGGCAGAAAATAATTTCTATTCAAAGTAGAGCGGTAGGTGAAAGTAGTATGTTGCGCGCACTAGATTTTTTATAATAGAATAGAGAAGTTTTTATTATAATTTTATAATAGTATAGACAAAAGAAAACTATAAAATACAGTGATATACTGTCTTATGTACTTTAATTGTAGTTTTATGTAGGTTTTTATTAGATTTTTCCTACTGTTTAAAAAAATAATTCTCAATACTAAATAGCGATTACACCATTATTATAACATACATAAAATAATTGTAACCACAAACATGTAATCATTATTATGACGTAATGTAAATGTAAATATATAAGTAAATAAAATAATTTTTGACTTTTGAATTTGCTGTATTTTAACACCAAATCTAAAAAAACTAAAACTATACGACATCCCCCTGCTCCTTGGCAGACACATGCTCTGAGAGAGTGTATGAGAAGAAGAGATGCTGCAAGACGACGGTTTAAATGTACCCAACTCCCGGAAGACTACATCGCCTTCAAGCAATTTTGAAACAGCATTCAGTCTGCTATACGCAGAGCCAAATTCCGTTATTTCCATCATTCCTTATCCAACACCCTAAACTCCAAGGCCAAGTGGGCTATCCTAAAAAGACTGACCATTTGTAACACACCTCAAACCCAGTTCATTTCCTTTTCTGCCGATGACCTTAATGCTCACTTTGTCTCCTGTTCCTTCTCATCCTCACCTCCTGCGACCATACCAGCTCCTATGTACTTCCATTTTAATTTTAATCCTGATCACTTCTTTTTTTCCCATATTACACCTGATGACCTCCTCAACTCCATTCCGAAATCGCAAACCAATGATTATGGAACCAATAATATCCCAGTAAGACAGATCAAAGCCTCACTACCACTACCATCCATCCTTCCAATCCTCTACCATACCTATAATTACTCACTACAAAATGCTACCTTCCCTACATCCCCGAAAATCACACTAGTTCGCCCTATGAAGAAGACTTCCAATCCATCAACTCTTAATGATTTCCGTCTAATTTTTCTCTTCTCAAACCTTTAGAGTGATTAGTTCAAACTCAGTTATCCGACTTTTTAGAACAGAATAACCTCCTAAATCCCAACCAGTCCGGTTTCTGACTCAGCTACTCCACTCAATCTGCCCCCATCAGAATTTTTACCCTTGTTCAGAGGTGTCCCACAAGGCTCCACCTTATCTCCCAACCTTTATTTCTATCTATATCAATGACCATCCATCCTCTATCCTACACTGTCAATACCATCTGTATGCCGACGACACCCAGATTTACCTCTCCTTCAATCCGACCGAATCCTCTGACGCCATCCAAAAATTACAGGAAGATATAAACGGAATTTGTGTCAGGGCAAACCACAATAGAATTACTCTAAACTCCGAGAAGACAAAACCCATCCTGATTGGAACTCCCTCACTCCTCAAATCCTTACCGACACTCCCCAATCTTTTCCTGAACAATTCACCTATCTCATTTCATACTTCTATAAAAAACCTTGGTATCACCTTTGATCAAACCCTCTCCTGGAAACCACACACCTCCCAAATTTCCGTCGTACTATCTCTACCCTGAAACAGTTTAACCGTCTCCGCTATCTCCTTCCATATAAATCCTGGTTTCCTCCCTTGTGTTCCCCCACTTCCACTATGGCTGTCTAGTGTACAGCGGACTATCCGGAGAATTCGAGGCCAAACTTAAACACCTAATGAACTGCGCAATACTTCTTGTTTTCGGAATCTCAAGAGATACGCATATAACTCAGTATTACACCAAGTTGAATTGGCTCTATCCATCCAACCGCTGTCTTTACTTCCTTGCTACCTTTCTATACCAAGCCATCAGAACTCAGCGACCTTTCTATATTTTTCACAGCCTACAATTTAAATATTCCATTCAATCCCGTATTTCTGACCTCTATCCACCTCCTCACTGAACTGCTTCGTTTGACAAATCCTTTATAATTCATCCATCTCCATCTGGAATACCATCCCTCCCGATATCCGACATGCGCAATCAGTTTCCTCATTTAAGTCTCTCCTTTTTTAGCATTTAGTTATTTCCCAACCCAATTGATCATGAAAAGTTGATAAGAGAACTTTTTAAGTTCCCCCAAAAATGATTTTGTTTACTTATGTTATTTTATTTTCACAAGTTTGTATGTATGTATGTATGTATATATGTATGTATATATATATATATATATATATATATATATATATATATATATATATATATATATATATATCTGTATGTATTTAGTGTTTTTGTTTGATTTTTCTTCCAATATTTTAATTTAATTAAGAATTGTAAATATTTAATTTAATTTTATGGCCACACAGGCATTTCCTCTGTATCTATAATTTGTCCTTAAGGGACAACAGTCCCAGGATAATAAAAATCTATTTTCATTTCATTTCAAATCTAATAAAATGCATTGAAAAAATGAACCTGGTTAAAGCATCTTACTTGAATCTTCATGGATTGCAGCCAGAACAGATATGTTTGAAGACATAGTTGAAACTCTTAGAAGTAGATGGTACGATTTTACTAATTGTCCTGATAATGAAAAACATTCCGTAGGCACAGACACAGTCGGAGCTTTGGGTGGGGGAAATTCTTCTGAGGGATTGAGAGGCACATAACTGGTTCCTAAAGAAACCTGATAAGAATAAAAAAATAGAAATTAAAATTAAAGAGCACATCTTGTAAGTCATGAATACAAATATTTGAAATTGTAACGAGATTGGAAACTAAAATTTAACATGGTATACATGATAAAAGTAATATTAAAAAGTCAACCATATTTAGAAATCTCTTCAATGTGAGTAAAATTACAAAATTCTGTCCATTAAAAAACATCTCGCTATCTTTTAAAAAAAAATATAAATAAAATACTCAACACACTTGAATTGTAGATCAACAACTTGAGAGTGAAACTTAAAGTGTGTATTGTTATATAAAATCTTTTGTTATTGAAATAACAATCCACTTACGAATTGGTGCACACAATTAAAAGAATATATCACAAATCTTTTTAAAAAATTCAAAAGGTATATTTCACAAGGTTTGAGCATAATTTCCCTGACCAAGAAACTCCATTTTATGTCCTCTCTTAAGTCATAGTCATTTAACTATTAAAATACTTTAAGGAATTAAAGTTATCCCGATTTAATTGACATAAAAATTATATATTGTAAACAAATAAATAAATAAATCATTCAAGTAAAATAAATGAAATACAAAAAGCTAAAAAAAATATTTAAAAACGCTTATTTAAGATTTGATGGGCAAAATACAATACTTGCAAAATTAAATAATAAGTATAAACTTTATATTGCAATATACAGGAGATACAGTTTTCAAAATAGAAACATATATAATACGTACCGTTAAGACAGGACAAGAAACATCCTTCCTTTTCTTATGGCAAACTTTCAAGAGCAATGTTTCGACCTTAACCGGGTCCTCCTGACCTTGACCTGCAATTTGGAAGCATTAAAACAATCAACACTATTGAATGTGATTCCTTTAGCTTAAAAAAAAATCTGGTGCGGTGCATCACACAACTTTCACTTACCACCCTCTTCTTAGCAGAAATAAGTATTTTCAGACAAAGGGGAAGAGAAAGTAAAAGTTATAGAAGTTATATTTCATTATGGGTATTTTTATTGGTATAAATACTCTAATATATACAAATTTTAATATTTATATCGCTGTAATCTACACAATTATATATTAAATAATACCAACAATAGCATTTATGAAACCACATTTGTATATTTATAGAATATCGTCCGTATTATAATTAAGCTCATGTTACGTATGGAAGCGCGTTCTAATCTTTCCGGCAAGCTCAGATGCGCTCGTATTCCTTTGGTTCCCCAATTACAACTATTCTTCGTTACGATTTATTATTTCTCCTTTTAATATTATAAAATTATAAAATATACTCCTGTTAATTATAAAATTCTTTCATATTCTACATTTAACTATCTTTTATATTAGAAATTAATGTGAAATGGTCAATGGTTTCCAATATAAAAAATCAAAGGTAATTTAGAGGAAGCTGATATTGAAAATTAGCCATTTATGTCCTGTTAGAGATCATCAATCAGAATAAAAACTACAATTTATTTAAAACTGCTTAATTTTACTCTGATGTGTAGAATTTAATCAAAATCATTAGAGCTTTTTCGAGAAAATTGTAAAAAAGTGTATACTTTTTGAGTTATTCGGAATTTAATTTTACCATCCCTCATAACTTTTTTTCCAGCTTCTTTTCGTTGAAGTATGTTATATAGATAAATTTAACGGGTGTCGAGAATATGGCTTTAGCAAAGTTTTATTGAAATCGGTACATTCGTTTAGGCGCTACAGTCTATAGCAACGCATGTTTTTCTGCATTTTTATTTATTTTTCTCCTTTATTAACTTATCAAATTCTTTCAAAAGTTATATTTAGCATTTTTTGTAACTCTGAAAAATGTGTTTAGGCCATGATATAAAGTGCCAATTCCGGTTAGCCGATTTTGACGAAAAAGTTGCTGTAACATCTCTAGCATATAAAAACGTTAAATATGCAATTTCACTTTCATAAGACTTTTCGTTTTTGAGCTAGACTGTTAACACACACATAGACACAGACCATTTTGAGGGACTTGGTTATTTGGACTCAGGAGACCTCAAAACGTGTATTTCCATTGAAAACTAACATTCGAAAATTTTCACGATCGCAATACTTTCCTTTACTACATAGTTAATATATAGGTAAGTGAAAGTAAAAATATCATCAGGTATACTATAGAAAATATTTACATCATAGATTTATTTACAACCGACCACATACATATCACTAGGGGAATGGACTTGAGCTATTACCACAGCCCAAAGTTGGGATGATGCGGAGGTCCTACCAACTCAGCTTTGAAAAAAGGTAGTCATTTCAAAATGGATGATCTTACACTTTCAGAAAAAAATATTAAAGATTATTTATAATCTCTGATACTCCTAAAATCAATATAACAGAATACAGAAAAAAATGGGCGATGAAGTTTGTATAGTTGTAGGTGTTTTTTTTTAACTTTCACTTGCCTATATATGCAATATATAGAAAGGGTAAGTATTGCGATCGTGAACAAATTTTGAATCTGAGTTTTCAACGGAAATACATGTTACCCTGAGTCCAAATAACCAAGTCCCGAAAAATGGTCTGTGTCTCTGTTTGTATGTTAGCAGTCTAGATTAAAAACGAAAAGTCGTACGAAACTAATATTACGTATTTAAGATAGGTATGTGCCTTAGATGTGACAGCAACTTTTTACTCAAAATCAGCTAACTGGAAATGCCACTTTATATCAACGGTAAAACACATTTTTACAATTTTCTCAAAAACGGCTTTAACGATTTAGATTAAACTCGGTGTATCATTGTATAATTAAGTGGTCTTTAATATCATTTAGGTCTTATCCCCGTTGAAGTCACTTTACAGGTCTTAAATGCCCAATTTTCATAGGCGTCTTCCTCCAACGTACCTCTAATATGGTTTATTTTAAATACTTAACTAACGTACCTCTAATATGGTTTATTTTAAATACTTAACTATCTCTCATTGTTAAAAGTTACGTAAAAACAATATCTAATATAGAAAGTTGTAGAAGGTAAAGGAGAAGGACAAAAAAATTATTAACAATAATTTTTGAAAACTAATAATATTAAACATTTTAACGTTAATCACATGTTTTCAAGGAAATTTACTAACTAAATGTAACCTTATAAAAAATTTTCAAGTTTGAAAAAAATATTTAAAATCCATCTAATCAAGGCAATGACATTGTTTAAAAAACTATTTCATTAAATTTGTGTGAAAGAAGAAGTAAAATATAAAATCATTTCATGGATGTATAAAGCATATATTTATAACCTTAAATATACTTACTGTAGCTTAATAATTTTAGATCTGATATTATATTTAAATCATTAGGTATCAACGTCTGTTTATTCCAAAATATTGTCATGTAACTTTTTAGAAAATTAAATTAGTGAATAATTTGATGAATCTTCCCTTTGTGATATTCCAACAGTGCCCACTACTATTTAATTGTACTTGTGTGAAAGAAGAAGTGAAATATAAAAATATTTCATAGATACGTTTATAACCTTATATATATTTACTGTAGTTTAATAACTCTAGATCTGATATTATATTTAAATATTTAGGTATCAAGTACCCGTTTATTCCGAAAAATCACCATGTAACCTTTTAGAAAATTAAATTAGTAAATAGTTTGATGAAATTTCCTTTTGTGATATTCCAACAGTATAGACTTACAATTAGTGTGACAACTTTTGACCTGTCTATGATAGACAATGCAAATATCTTAATTCCGTTTTGGTAAACTTTGCAAAGGAAAATAACTGTTTAATAACTAATAGTCATACAATCCATAATCAACGGATCGTACAATCCACAATCAACGGATCGTACAATCCATAATCAACCAATAATATAATAAATAAAACTTTTGTTATTTTAATGGTGTATATGATTTGTTAGCTGTAATTTTTTAGCTTTAGCTCAGTTAAAAATGCAATTTAAAAATTATATAATAGCCCAACATGGCCAGAAAATAATTTCTATTCAAAGTTGAGAGGTAGATGAAAGTTGTGTGATGCGTGCACCTGATTTTTTTCTTCTGTAAATGTAAAATTAGCTGTTTTGAAATATTGCCTATTACTTAAGAACATCAGAAAAATTACCTGTAATTCATTTAATTTTCCATTTCAATACCATATATTTATAAAAATATACTTAAAAACAAATGCAGATTAATATTTTTTTAATAAATTCAATATTTTTTTAGAAATAAAGTTAGAGTAGAAGGAACTTACTTGATTTATTATAAAATCCTAAAAACGTCAGAGTTAAAAACCCTGTAATAGGTTGCTGGGGCTGCAATCTGTAAACAAAAATAAATTACAATTTTAATTAACAATCTATATAATAAAGAAATCAATTACATTTTTTTAATAGATGAATAATGGGTAAAAAAAAAAATACCCAAGACTTAAATTAATATTTTATTCATTCAGCATACTAACTGATAAATCACATAAGTAAATTAATTTTCCAATTAGGATTTAGAGAAAAGAAATCGGAACAATAATTATTTTATTTTAATTTCACAAATGAAAGAAATTTTCTTCATTCATATCAATTATTATTTTTTTTTTTAGTATTATTTTGTGTTAACAATTTACTTGTTTCATTCAAAAATAGAGTAGCAGTTGTTTATTATTTTATTTTATTTTTTAAAAATAATATAGCATTTAGACTTGAATAGGTAATTTACTATAATATATGCAATAAGTCCTGATAAGATAGTGTGGCATAGCCAACCTCTGGTCTAGACCAGCAGTTCATTCTCCTTTTATCAAACAATCTCAACATTTCATGGAACAAAAGCCAAAATATAATATTTTTTAAAAAATCCCTTATTTATAATACATAGCTGGTAACTCAAATAAATTATTATTATGATACCTTATGATCTTTTAACAAACACTCAAGTTTTAAATTCAACAGAGCTGAATTCGAGATCAATGTGCTCACACAGGACCACTGATCATTTTTTAATATCAAGCTGAAAAACTATAAAATTTAATTCGAAATCCAGAAACATTAAAAATAAATATAACACAATACTTGGTGGAACATTTGAAAATTTTAACTTTATTGTCTCATCTATATTTCATGAAATTACTTGGGATGAATAACACTTTAATGAAATTTGCAGATCCCAAATTCAATTTCATTTATTAATACGTACTACACCAATCTGGCAAATGAAATGAATTTAAAGAAGTAAGACCCTTTAAAATTTTATAAAATGCAATGGCTTTTAAAATTATCTTTGTACTAATTACTCAGCTACCAATATATTTTTCTTTCAAATGTCATAAATAACTGAAAATGGATAATTTTTCATTAATCAATTATAAGGTAAAGGCTAGTTTATACAGTTAAGTTTCTTGACCTAAAAATTACAGATAAGCAATTGGGTTTTCAACCATCAAAGGAGTAAACTCTTTAAAAACCCGTTTATATTGTAAATATTGTTCAACGAAGTTGAGATAAAGAAATTTTAGTCAACATATTTGTCTACAAGGCATGTCAAATAGTAGCTTTACTTAACAACATTACTTTGAAATCAATGACATGAATTAAAAGCTGAGAGGATTTGAATGCAATAGAAACCCTTACGTTTTACTTCTAAATTTTATATTAAAATAAAATTTGCAAAGCGTACACTAATGTTGACGATCACACAATAAAAAAATAGCTAGTTTTACATCATATTTTAAAGAATAATGTATTTAATCAACACAAGGAGCACTGCTATTGTTTGTTGATAATTTTTTATCATGTTGGAACTATTTGGTCTCATAACATAACAAAGCCAAAATAGTTCAGGATTAGTACTTCTGAAACCACAATACAACATACCAGCAGTGATAATCAATAATTGAAATGGGTTCTGAGTTGCTTTATAAGTTTTGATAAACACACCACTCAAATGTCATCAAACAATTTCTCTTAAAGCCCAACATCCACAAACAAGCAGGTATGTCTAATCCTCCTGGAATATGCCCAACCTCTAAAGACAAGGTTTGCTGATCGTTGCGGTGGCAGAGGATGGCAATATTGATTAACTGAAGATTAAAAGTTTGAGTCTCAGTGCCAGGGGCTTCTCTGACATTAATCCTCCACTGTCTCCCCTGACCCAGGAAAACCCATATAGCTAAAAAGACAAAGTAGGGAAGAAAAAGGGGATACTATGATTGAAAGTTAATCCCCCCTCCAATAAGTGACCCAATATACCAGTAATTTCTCTCTCAATTGTATTCTCTTTTACCATAGAGCGATATGAAGAGTCAAATCCCAATACTGTAATAACTACTGCCTCCTTACCTAATAATTTTTATTTGTCAAAAGCAGCCCTTTACGTCATCTTCCTATCTTTCTAGGCAATATCCAAGGCCTTCTTACATCAACGTTATTTTCTAACATGATTATACCTACTCAGCTCTCTGCCATTCCAGAGAAAAAGCCAACGATCTCAGATGATTTTTCTATGCCACTATCTTAGCTGCTCTTATATCCGGGATCCAATTTTAAAGGGAATCAAAGGAAGTTGAGATGATAGTAAATACAAAGAAAACTTGGTTCAAATAGAACTCAATCTAGCTATAATAGATAACAAAACTCTTGTTTTTATTTCTTAAGTTTTCACCATGAAAAAAAGAAATGGATCAAATAAGATTTATTGAAAGTTAATAATATTGATAATAAGGAAGTTATTGAATCCTAAATAGCCATTTTCATTATGTTGAGAATTAGGTATTCTGTACAATAATAGTAAATAAAATGCTAAGATGCTTGAAAACAAGATAACGAATCTCATGATGTGAGCGATAGATAGTAATTAGGGTGTAATAAGTGACTTTATTTTTAATACTAAAATATTTAAATAATAATCTAGTGAAGTAAGAATATATAATCAATACATAATGATATTTATAGAAATCATGATTATTAGTAAATTAAAAGAATAGTCGCAAATTATTTTTATCCCTTTAACGTAAACCAAGGAACTACAAGAAATAAGTAATAATACAATAAAACTATTTATAGAAACAAAACTCAAATTAAAAAAAAAAAAAAACTCTTAAATAAATTAGCGTGTAGCAATAGCAGAAAACTGATCAATATATTATCACTCAATTATTAATAAAAACTAAAAATTCAATAAAACACAATCCTGTTTACCAAATAAAACTCATGTAGACAATAATAATAAAAGTACAAACAATTCAGGTAAGAATTTGACTGCTTAAAAATATTTCCCTAATTCTAAAAAGAAACTTGTTGAAAGCACCAATAATGTAACACATTATCATTTCAAAGTTAATAATACCTATTAGGTTAGTAGATACACCAGAAGAAAAAAAAATGTTGAAAGTTTCAACTAATAACATCAACCAAATGTCAATTCTACACATTTCTGAAGTCATATTATTAATTCTTAAGCATCATAACATATTTCAACTGACTGAATTGTTTACAGTCTTACTTTAAAGAAATAGATGACAAAATTTACAGATAAGCAATTGCAGTAATAACTGCACAAAGTATAAAACCAGTCCAAAAATATGATAACCAAAAAATTGGCTTATAATAGGCAGAAAATGAAACAAACATTACCTGTTCGTAATAGTTTGAAGCATAGAATCTACTTTAAAACTTTTGCGTCTTTTATGATTCCTTGACATCCTATGTTTCATATAGAGTAAGGTTCGAAGTAAAAATATGGGCTGAAAAATATATTTACTCTTTATTATTTTATCCTGTTATAAAATAAAATAAATATTGATCTCGTCCATACCTTAATCATGTGTCGAGTTCTTAAGTACCTATAGATTTGAGTGGGTTCTGAAATAAATAAAATGTTATTTTAAAACTTAGCATGCTTCTTCATTTTAATTAATCACAATATGATTTACTTTTAATATTCATATTAACAATAGGAACAAGAAAAACACTCATCATGTTCTGTAGCACAATTAAGTTGAGAATTTTAAAGTTCTAAAAACTTAAATATAGGTTACATGAAACATTTTTGAACTAAAATATAATCATTTAACACAAAAATGTTTTTAGAACAGAGAAAACTAAGTATATCAAGAAACAAGCACCTTTCAATGAAAGGGAGGGATAAATATTTCAAACAACTTACTCTCAAATGCTTGTAAAAACTGTTCATGATCACCATTATTATTTTCAGTTTTGCTACTCTTGTTCGGCGGTTCATTTTCCTTTTCTCTTTTCTTGGGTGGCATAGTTATAATAACTTTATACACGATAAATATTGAAACAAAAACATAGACTCACTGAGACCGCGAACGAATCCCTTATTACTGTTACCAACAGTATCATTATCAGTAACTTAGAAACAAATGACTTAAACTCATGGTTAGATATTTTTAAAAATTACAATAAAGTAATAATATTTAATAGTAATTCAGAAAAAGTTGACTTAATCTACCTAACTTTCGTCAAATAAAATTGCCGAGAAAATATAGAATTCTTATTGTGGCTGCGCTAGTAACTAACCGACGGAGTCAACGACACCTAATTCAAATGCATTATCAATGAAGTTTCAGTTCAACGTTTTCTTAATTACTTATGTCAAAGAAATATATTCAAGAAGTTTTAAACAAATTATACTTTTTGGAAGATACTTCATTTGGAATCAATCTGAAAATCAACCTTGAATCAATTAGTCTCTAAAAAATATTATCCCCCCCTCACCTTTAGCTTTTGAAATTATAATCTTGACATCACTTTCGTTCCTTCACAAAGACATCTACGTTTGTTTAACAGCAATTAATATTATTGAGAGATAATAATTTTAATGCTTATTGTTTAATTAGTAAATGCAATAAAAGATTAATGCTTAAATATACATTTTAAACATACTATTCAATATTTCATTTTAATTTGACTTTTAAAAACCACATAATAATGGAGGTTTAATTAAAATAGATATTCTATTTACGGAAAAGATCTTGTATCCAGGCGTTTCGAGATCTTAAGCTAGTTTTTGACTTATTATTTACTTAATTTTTATTAAATACTCAATGGTTGATGGAATCACTAGCGGATCCAGGATTTAATTTTGGGGAGGGCTTCAGCCTGAAACCTTTTTTTTTCATAAAAATAACGATAATTACTTTGGAAAAATAGAAAGAAACTAACTACCTATATGAAATGGTATTTAAGTTATTCCTTAAGTACTTTTAAATGTAATTACACGAACAATAATACTTTAAGAGGTATTTTTTAAATTTTCTTTTCCCATAAAACATGGTTATATTTTTCCATTTTGGGGGAGGCTTCAGCCCGAAAGCCCCCCCCCGTAGATCCGCCCGTGGATGGAATTGTATCTTTGTATCTTGTTCGTTCAATCCCCCATGCAGACCTGCATAGTTGGATTGAAACGTTGGATTAAAATAGAAACTTTTTTCACTATTTTAATTTTTTTTTATGACCGCCATCTCGTACCATCTCTTTCCTCAATAATTGTCATCAAATTTTAACTGACTTGATTAGGTAAAACGTCAGTAATTTTTTTATAGCAAAATGAACTAAAATAACAGTTGATTGGCAAAAACAATTATGACTATCCGGACTATTTTGAAACACATAAATATCTGCACTAAGAGGATTATATTGATAACATTGCCCTAGAATGTGCAGCTTGGAAATCACTTACTCAAGCTAATTTAATCGCTCAATCCATGTGCTAGGATTTTCTGAGAACATTGCATTGGTTGTGAGGACACCAGCCGCCATACAGGTTGCCTCTGTAACATTTCACAGAACTTCAGCAAGAGATAGCTTAAATGTAAATGAGGAGGGAAAAAAATCAGAAAAATGGGTCAATCCAAGGTCCATGACAAATTTTCACGAGGTCCAAGATGAGCAAATATGTAAATTAGAGACTTAAATTTTAAATATCTCTGAGTTTATATATCTTGTCTCCAACGACAATATAAATAATGACGTAATTACAGAAATTTAGAGGCATATCATGATTACAAATAGAGCCTGTTTAAGTGATCTCACGCTGTACATATACAAAATCTTAATGAAACCAGTGGTTATGGGCCTAATGTAATTACGTGAACAATAATAATTTTTTAAATAAGATATGGTTATATTTTACCATTTTGAGGGAGACTTCAGCCAGAAAGCCCCTCCTCTCGTAGATCCGCCTGTGTAACTATATATAGAAATATCATTTATTTTACATATTTTAAGATCCAAGTAGACCAAAGAATTATTAAAAAGAGAAGAAGGAAACATATCTAGTACTATATTCTTTTTCCCTTAACTCGCTGATGAATTAATCGACGAGAGGAGGGAGGAGGGGGGGGGAAGCACAAATGAACACGTTTCAATACTTAATATTCGTTTTATCGATTAATAAACACCATTAGATTTAACTGCCTGAATTTACTTTCTTTGTGACATATCTTCTCTGAGCTATTTTTAATTTTATATATATAGTTTTTTTTTCTATAACATACAAATGTGTATTTGTTTTTAAAAAGTATTAAAAACAACTGTGTATTTGTTTTTAAAATGTATTAAAATTAGAAAAAAAATAATATATGATATTTTTATATTTCGCAAATTTTTTACTTTTTAATGATTTATAAATCTTTTTTATTTTGTTACAAAGATCTGTTGGTAGCAACGTGAGATATGGCGGAAAAGAAATCTGATTTAGTGGACCATATAATTCATTTAGATATCACATTCGGTAATTTAATTACTCACTAAGATTATCTGTCTAAACCTTTTATATTTTTATAGAGAGTGTGTTCGTTATTCTCAATACAATACAATTTTGTTTTGGGTTTTGTGGCCATTAAATTTCTGGTCTTATATTAGTAATTTTTTTCATTTTTAAACAAAATTAAAATCTTCATTCTGTTGCTATCTGCTTTTTGTTGTTTTTTGTTTTATTTTTAATTTTATTTTTATAAATGGTGAGTGTCTAGAAACTTAACAGGAAATTTTAATAAACTAGGTAATTTAATTAAATTAACTTTCATAATGCATAGAATTTCCTAATATTTAATTAAATATATTGCTTTTGACAGTTAAAACCACAACCAAATATAAGTTTAAGGAATAATTTGAAATATAAATTTCTTTTTCACCAGTGTCTATTAAGAATATTATTTATTTAAATGTTTAGCTCCTTCGCAATATCCCAGCCAACAGGCAAAGCTTTAGTTTAGTAGCTCCAATATTGCGATTACATTTTAACTGACATTGTACTAGATGTGTAACTGACCAGATGTATTGAATTTCTATAATTATATATCCATTTTTAGGAAACATAATATAGTTGTTAATGACATGAAATGTTCATTAGCTGTAGACCCAACCATATTTTTCTTGGGTCCATTTATAAATATATATGTATATGTATATATATATATATATATATATATATATATATATATATATATATATATATATATATATATATATATATTTTAGGTAGGAAGTGAGTTAGTAATTCCTTTTTGAGTTTTAATAATAAATACATTTTTTAATTTATTTTATTTTTTCTGTTAGCGTTACAGACAATTTTGATCTTTTGCCGCCTTAACAAGCCTGCTTCATCTCTGCCTGTTTCTTTCCATTTATCTGCACGCAGCTCTACTGCACCTTTGTTTATTCTATCTATCCATCTGCTTTTTGGTCTACATGGTCTTTTGCCTTTTATTGAGGCATTCATTGTTAGAGACTTCCAGATGGATTGCTACGAGCTACATGCCCTGCCCATCTTAACCTCCGTGCCTTCATATGGGATATTGATTGACCAGTTGTAAGCAGTTCTTTATTGGTCTTTCTTCTCCATGTGTTAGTAATCTGATCCCAGATCGCTCCGGTTATCGTCAAATTAATCAATGATAAACAATGAAACTATGACTTAAATAATTAAATTTATTACTTTTCTAGCTAGCTCAACATTGACTTTTATTAGATATTGTTCAATCTCTTATATTAAGATGCTAATGGAAATCAAACCAAATGAGGTATAGTAAATATAGGGGAAGGAATATCTTGGTTTGCTTTTTTATTGGTAATTAAAGAGCAGGATGTACACTAAATTAAGAAAATATCTTAATTTTTCTTTATACTGTAAGTATAAATTTATTCCTAGCAGAAAACTATTTGATTTAATTGTGTAATTATGATTTTAATACTAAATAATTAAACTTATTCCTTTCCAACTTGGTCCGATATTAGTTTTCATTAGACATGATTGAAAATTTCATCTTAAGTGTTAAATGATATCAAATCAGTTAGATTTAAAAGTGGGATTTCAATTTTAAGAATAGCTTGATTTGTTTTTTATATTAGCGCCTTAGGATAAGGTTAGGTACCAAACACTAAATTAAAAATAAAGTCCTTTATCTAAGATTTTTTCTATACTATTTTCTGTTATAAGTTATTTCTTACAGAATGCTATTCTGTTGCTCTTGACTCAGTTTCAATTGTATGAAACTACTGATAAATAAACCAATATTAATTCAACTTGGTAAACTAGTATCATTCCTCTTTTTGTAATTAATAATACAAAACTAATTTTACTTATTACCTTTCCATGTATCCCAACATTGGCTTTTATTAGACATACTTAAATGTCTCATATTAAGGTGTTAAAGGAAATAAAACCAAGTTAATGTAATTGAGAGGTATTGATTTTAGAGATAACTTGGTTTGATTTTTCTATAAGGACTTGAAGATGAGACTAAGTACTGCAGATAAATAAATTTCAAAAAATTACTTTATCTTAAGGTGTGTTGAGATTAGGACACAAAATTTTGGCAACTCGATAGCTGTTAGATATTTCTCTATATCATGTTTCTCGGATATACCTGTATGTATAAGGATACATGTTACAACTGTGTTGCATGTCCAAATCAAAGTCGGTTTTAGTTCAAAATAGAAGTAACTGTGGTTCCTTCTAACCATTGCTGTCATCTTAATGATTGTTCATGCTAAAAAAAAATAGAATAAGAAATGGTTGTAGAGAGACTTTTTTCAATAATGGAACAAGCCATGGTGGGAATTGGAGTTAACGATGGTAGCTTATACTGCAATTTAATCATATAAACAAATTCTGATTTTGAAGAAATTCCTTGTTTGGTAGCACCCAAATACTAAAAAATAAAAAAATTATTTTGTGATATATAGTTACAGCAAATTTATTTAATAGTCTGTTATATTTTATTAAATTATCATAACAACCCAGTTCATAATGTCCACCCATCCAGTTTTTAGGGACTTTCTTGAATATTTCAAGCACCAA